AATCAGTTTAGAATTTGCATATCTGCCATTCTATTTGGAAAAGGCAAGAAATTGTCTCTCTTTGCCATTATTTTTTTTCTTTCCTCGGCATTTTCTACAATCCAAACATGCCCTGAATGGGGGGGGATCACTTCTTTGGGTAAAGAATGCAGAAGCTTTTGGTGCATTGAATGATAAAGGAAAGTCCCATATCACTGAACGGAACTAATGGTACAGTCTATTCAACACAGCTGTAAAATACTTACCAGTGATTTTTTACAACCTGAAATTATCAAACCACACTGAATTTCAATCAATTGGAATAAAACCAAAAATAAGGCAAGAAAATTATGGTATTGTAATCAAGAATTGCAGCAAAATAAAGAAGGAACACCATACAAGCTCATTTACCATCCAAGAAAAACCAAATGATCACACCCACTGTTTAAGAAAAAGAACTTTTACCAAATAAGGAAAAGGTAAATACCAGGAGCCATGGGGATTGGAAAATGATGAGAAGCCTCGTCGAGAAAATTGAGACCTCAAGAATCCAATCTTGGCTTCACCCAGACCACAGTTTTGACCAGTTACTCCATTTTGGGGAACCGAGCTTGAGAACAGGCCGCGATAGAACTGCGAGTGTGCGTGAGAGAAGGGTGGGTTTGGGTGGTGTTTGGGGACATTTCTGGTGATCTGCTGGGAGAGGCCCTTGAGGAAGACAAGCTTCTGCATTGCTAAATCTTTGAATTTTACGAATAAAAATTAAAATTAAAATATGTTTTTAAAAAAGCTCTGGACCTGTGGTGGAGTCGTGAGTCCTAAGTACTGTAGGGGGTGGACACAACAGGGGTGTTTGTTTGGAGCCAGAGTGGGTTTTAAAAATAAAACAAGCCCAACCAAATCACAAGTAACACATGATTTTGACTCAACTTGCAATACAGATACACCATTAACAATTGTCTATGAGATTTATAGATAATTCGTATCTATATTTGTCTGTCATATACATACTAAGTTGATATACTTTTAACACACTTTGAGGCCAAAAAAGGTTTGGAGACACAAATTTTTTTAGATTTGTCAAGTCGGGTGATCTGAACTTTCTCAAATTTTGGAAAATTTGGACGGATATCTCATTCACAATTCAATAAGTCTGAAACCAATACAGTCTAGCTCAAACAATGTTGAAACGAACTGAAACATACTTCGAAGTCTTTTAAGCTCGCTTTATTCTACATTTCAATTTTCAGTTGTGCTAATATAATTCTAAAGTCTACATCTGAAATGTAGATCTTCTCATATATTTTTCATAGACTCATATTTGGATTTCTTTCTTTTTACAAGGCCAAATACATATAAGTATTTTATGCATTAAGGTCTACAAAATAACCATAGACTTAAAATCTACAAAAGAATTTACTTTTGATTTCATAGATATTAATAGTCCGTGCAAAAATGTTTGAAAATTAAAAAGTGAAAAATTAGAGAACATAATATTAAAGTAAAAATCGTAAAATAATAAGAAAGTATCATAACGAAACGGAATAGAAGATAAAAGATGAAAATAATGTTAAGGTAAAGATCATAAAATAATCAAACGAAAGCAAACTTTATAATAGGTGGAGCATAAAAGTTTAGAAAATATTTTTTAAAAACATCATATTCAATTCTACGAGTATAATACATGATTTTAATTAATCATGGCTCATTGAATGATCATTTTTTAAAATATAAAATCATAAACAAGAATTTTGTAGCTAGGTCATACCAAACTTGTTTCCATATTACTAAAATGACATTCATATCATTCGATCAAATATGTCTTGTGATAATTCTTGCTGGGCAAAATATCTTCTAGAGAAATGAGCAATGCTAGGTTCACAAACAGAATATTCACAAATTTCACAAACTTACTTTTTATGCTTTAAAATTTCATTTTAAAATCATTTTAGGCCATTTAATTTTTTTCATTGAAGTTTACAAATAGTAAGTTTGTGATGTTTGTGACTATTTTGTTTGTGAACCAAGCATTTTCCTAGAGGAATTTTTTGTGAAATTTGCACTAAATAGGACTAAAACATAATGACTTTCCTAATGTAGGACTTGAACTTTTTTATTCCCTAAATAGGACTTAATAATGACCTAGTGGAAAGAATAATGTCCACTGATGATGGACATTTAGTTGAATAATGACTACTTGATAATGAACAAATATCCTACATTGAGAAATAAATATATATGGTCATATATTGGGAAAGTCATTATGTTTTACTCATATTTAGGTAAATTTCTCAAATTTTTTAGTAAAGGCGTTCTTCTACCCTATACATGAGAATTGAGAAGAGAAGCAAAATTTAGCAATAAATCGAGCCTTATAAATTTAACAAAGAAGTCGGAATTGAAGTTTTCATATTCTTAATTTTGGTCCATAACTCGCTAATTTTACTCATGAAGGTCTCATACTTTGTAACATTCAACTTATAGTAGCATTTTATAATTATTATTATTTTGAAGCAATTGTAGAAACAATTGATGAACTAACCAACCATGTAAAATGTCTAAAAATTAATGATATATTAAGAATACTACTCGTTTAAGGTTGTTAATTATTCCATGATCCATTTAAAATAGTTGGTTTATGTTCTTCCACTAATCAAAAGGTAAACCAAAAACTCAAATAAAAGCTAGGGTTAAATGTGTTTTTGGCCGATGTAAAATAAGTGCTTTTAATTTTCAGTCCCTATAAAAACAAATATTTAAGTCATCCTTTTAAAAAAAATTATTTTGAAAGTAGCTTTTAAATGTAGTTAGCAGTTCTATAGAATTTTAGCAGACACGGGAAATGGAAAAATTGATTCAACAAAGGATATATCTCGAGTATGAAAAAATCGATTATTTTCCAAATTATAGATTTTTTAGCTATGAATTGACCCCCAAGTACCCTAGAATTTTTTTTTTAAATTTAAAATAAATTAAACAATTAATTATTTCTCATCATGCTACAATTTTGATACAAAATTACATGGCAAAGGTTTGCCTTGTGGCATCCTACTCACATAGGTGGGGTGGATTTTCGTTGTGATTTGGAAATCACGAAGCTTATCAATATAGGTACCCCGTCTTCTCTAAGAAATCCCAAAATCAATCTATTACATATCTTGATTCTGAGTTTTTTATTAATTCTTTAATATATTCATTTTATTTTCTAATCCTGTTCCAATTCTCAAACAAGTTGTATTAAAAATAATTTTACTCAAATATCATTAAATTAGGACTGGGAAAGTATAAATGCTAGTAAAAATTCAAAGGCTAGTGAAAACTCGTTCTCTCTCGTTAGTATGTTTTTTCTTTCAAATTTTTTTAATATTCAAATAAGTTGAATTGAAATATATTGTGGTGGTTGATTAGAATGTGTCGTGCTAAAAATGATCAGAATGTGGAATTAGTGTGTCCGCATTAGGAGGAATATTTAATTTAATTTGCAGCATGGTTTCATGGGATCCATTCGTTAACCACAATTAAAGTGTCCGCATTTAAGCTATATCTGCACTTACGCCTCGTTTGTTTACACGTTCCTTCTCTTCTTCCCAAAAAGATCACACTTATTCGGTTTAAGAATACAAGAAAAAAAATTCCAATTTGCTTCTCATTTTTATTTTTCTCGTCCAAACAATGCCTAATGCTTCTACTTCCAGAGTTTTTATGATAATCTTAACCTTAGTAACAAAATTTAAATCCGTAAAAGAAAATCTTTATGTGGAAAGGGACTGTTTGGGTTGGGGCAGGAGTACAAAAATAGGTTATCTAAATTCAAGAAAGGGACAGAGCTGAGTTTTACCAAAACAAGATAAAACGCCCAAACACAGTCATTTGTCAAACCAAAACAACACCTTACTACAAAATGCAAAAATGCAAGCTGGTCCCAGCAACACATGCATCCAAACACGCCCTAACTGCAACTAACAAAAACCATTCTTCCTAAACAACAACAAAAAAACACCCCACAAGATTGTTTAATTCATCAAGCCCCCCGCCCCACAGACTTGGCAAAATTAACCCCAGTCTAACCACCCAGTAACATTATTAATGGCAACAAGAACCATTCGGTTTTAACCCATGGACGTGATTGGTCTCCAACGCGAGAGCCTTCAAAACTGAGACCAAACCAAATTAGATAATTAATTAATTACCATCCTCCAAAGTAATTAACTCAAATCCCTAGCCACAGCCTTGCAGACCAAAGGGTTCTTCATCTCCATGGACATCTTGAGAACTTCGGACAAGTCCACACCGGGCCCAACGGGCTCCCATTTAAAGTTCTGGAGCAAGATAGCTAGCCAGAGCTGGACCGTGGCAAGGCCCATTGCCTTCCCGGGGCAAACCCTCCGGCCCGCCCCAAACGGGGCCAGCCTGAGGTCAGAGCCCATGATGGAAACCTCGTCCACCAAGAACCTCTCAGGCCTAAACTCCTCCGGCTCGGCCCAAATCCTCTCGTCGTGCGTGATGGCCCACATGTTGACCATGGCAGTCGTCCCCGCAGGAATCTCGTGGTCCCCAACTCGGGTGTCGTGAATTGCCAGCCGGGCCCACGACAGAAGCGGGCCCGGCGGGTGAACCCTGAGGGTCTCTTTGACAATGGCATTCAAGTAAGGGAGATTGGGTAGGTCGGAATCGGACACCACCCGATCCGTTCCCACAACGCTGTCGATTTCGGATTGGGCCTTCGCCTGAACATCCGGATGAAGAACCATTCTCGCGAGAATCCATTCCAGGAGAATTGCCACCGTATCTGTTCCCCTAAATATCATTTCCTGTTTGTTCAAAAACAAAAAAAAACATAAAATTTATATTCGACACGTAAAAAGCTAAAATGGACCGCCAAAGAAATGAATATTAGATTCGTATAACATATCATTTCATGCAAAAAGAATACTTATGGAGTATATATACTCTGTTTTTTATTTCATATACATATTCACATCAAAAACTAAAGTTGGGAAGCTAAAAAGACAACAATAATAACTAAGAATAAATTTGCACTAAATAGGACTAAAACATAATGACTTTCCTAATGTAGGACTTAAACTTTTTTATTCCCGACTTATTAATGACCTAGTAGAAGGAATAATGTCCAGTAATGATGGACATTTAGTTGAATAATGACTACTTGATAATGACCAAAGATCCTACATTGGGAAATAAAAACATATAGTCCTATATTCGGAAAGTCATTATGTTTTAGTCCTATTTAGGTAAATTTCTCAAATAAAAATGCTAAATCCTTGTCAAGAATAAATTAAATACAGAGTAATAATTAATATCATAGCAACAAAATTAATGCATAGGAACAAGAATAAAGAAATAAATAGTAACATTTGACACTGTTAAAATATGGAAATAAAAATGTAGGGATGGGAAGGAATAAGTACCCAAAGGACAGCAATCATATCGGACTCAGTCATCAACCCATTCTCAGTCTCGGCCATATCAAGAAGGACATCGACGAAATCCGTGGAGGACTCGTGTCCTACAGGGTGCCCTACAATTCGAGACGTCCTAGCAGTACGGTGGTCCGCAATGATGTCCCCCACAAAGACATTGACTTTTTCCACAAGTGCCCTACACCTTTTCCGGACCCCCTGTAGGTCCATCCAGCCCAACACAGGGAAATGGTCAGCCCAATTGAAAGTCCCTAGAAGTTGGTACCCTTCACTCACTAGCCCTTCGAGATCCGACCCGGTTTCGGAATCGAAATCGTAGGACCGCCCAAACACGGTCTTCATAACGCTGTTCAGTGACCCGAAGTGCAGCACTCTTTTCACTCTCACTTCCCCGGAATTTGCCATCTCCGCCTTCAACTGCTCCACCATTTTCATCGCTATGTCGGTCCTGACGCCGGAAAACGCCGCGATTCTCCTCGGACAGAACAGGTGCGTGGCGGAGATTCGCCGGAGATTCCTCCAGTACTCCCCGTACGGCGCGAACCCCATGGCTCTGTGGAAGAGGAGCTCGTAGGCGGACTCCTTAACCGGCCGGTCGGCAAAGGCGGAACTACCAAGAATCTCCTTAGCGGTTTCCGGGTCACCGGATATGATGAACCGGGTGAAACCAACCGAAAAGGACATTAAAGACTCCGCCTTTAATGATTTCGCAAGACTCTGGAGAACTCTGTGAGTGACGGAGCCGGTGAATGCCCGGACCAGGCCCAACACCGGCAGGCCGGAAGGGCCGGGAATGGCGGCTTTGTTCTTGGATAGGGCCCACGCCAGACCGCCGGGGCTGAGCCAGAACCCCACCGCCGCAAGAAAAACCAAGAAACAGAGCAAGAGCGGAAAACTGAGAACAGTGGAGGAAAAACCAGAGGAAGGGATGAAGAACAGCAGGGAGGACTCCCCCGGAGACATCTTTCTAAAGAAATTAAAACGAAAGACTAGATTTTTGTTTCAATTTCAAGAGAAAAACAGAAAGTTCAAGAATTTGGGTTTGCTGGAAAGAAAATGGGAGTGAAGTGTGATGTTGCAGAGGGGAAGTTGGGGAAGAGAAAGAGCGTGAGGGGGACGGTTAAATAGACGTCTGCATGAATAGGAAGGAAGAGTTATTTTTAACCCTGGGTTAAAAAAAAAAAAGTGATCGTTGCTTATTGGGCAGCTCAAAGCCCACCAATATTTAATTACAAAGTGATGCAGAAGAAAAAATTATGGTTCCAATGCAAGTTGTATTCTCGTAATTAGCGAGCATGTTTAATTATAAATATTTTTAATTTACTCCCTTCCTCAAACCAAATTTATATTACGCAAAACGAGATGGAAAATTATTTTTTTTTTCAATTTGTTTGAAATTTTTTAAATAAAATAATATTGTCATCTTCTTTAGTTTAAAAAATTTTGTCACCATCTTTGTTAATCTTTGTCAAAAAAATTACAAAATAAAAAATGATAATACTATTTTACTTTATCAAATAATCAATCAAAACCCTGAAAATAAATAAAAATTTTAGTGAATTTGAAATAGTGAACTTTCTTTTTTGGACCAAAAAAAAATTATTTTGAAATTGAAGTAGATCTAAAAAAGGGAAACTATAATCATAGTTTTTCCCACGTATTGGTTTTTGCTTCCCGATTACGTCTGTTTCGTTATGTATTTTAATTGATTATTTGATAAAATTAAATATTATTAATAACTCTTTTTTTAATCTTTACATAACTTGTGATGAAGCATCATTGACGTGAAATTTTCAATGAAACATGTTAGATAATATATTCTTATGTTAGTCTTTGTATTTTAGTCAGCTTCTATTATTGATTATTATTCCTAGTTGTGGTTATAAATTGCTCTATATATATTCTACGATCTATTATATTACGGAGTATCTTTTAGTAATACAACTATTCCATTAGGAAAGTTGGTATCGGAGCGAAGGTGAAACATTTCTTTTTTACTCAAAGAATAATAGAATGCATAACAGATTTATATAAATGGGATTATAACCCCAACTCAAAATATGAATCAATAATAGAAATAAACTAAAATACAAAGATTACCAAAAAAAAATTATTATTATTATTGTCATATCCATCCCCTCAATTTGAACTCGTGTCAGGGGTGGAAGCTTCGAAACAAAAGTATGGAATCATAAAGAAGACATTGCCTTCATGAGTAATTCCACTAGAAGTTGAGAGACATTTCTATAATACGTGTCAAACCAGCTTGAGACTGTATCTGGTGAGTTTTTTCAGAAGAAGAGTGATGGCGATTGGAGCAAGGGTAAAGAGTTTTTTTTTTGTCCTTTTTGGGCATTCTCTCCTTCTTTATTGCTTTTCATGCTGAAAAAATACAGATAAATATATCTTTTCAATTCTTCAATCACGCACACAATTTTTTTATAAAGATAGAGAAAGGGAAAGAAAGAGAGAGATAAAAAGGGAGGAAGACCCAATGTTTAAATCAAATGTTATTATAATAAGATCAGAACCAATTAAATGGGAGGAAGAAAACATGCATGGTCTAAGTCATAATCATAATTATGAAAATGAATAGGGAGGAAGACCCTATTATTTCCTCAGGTTATTTCTGTGGCCACAACTACTTCAACTAATAAGAGGGTTGACTAAGGTATAACCTGCAAGCTGCTATGTATGATGGATGGATGTGCCATCTAAAGTTGTCTTTTTTGATGGCAGTCTGACACATTACTATTTCTATTTTCACATCTGCTCCCTCTCTCCCTTTTTCTTAGGTGAAGGAAGCTTAGAGCACTGGTAATACCCGCAACGCCCCCCGGCGTGATGGGGCGTTACCCCGGCGGCGTTAAACACCGCCCCCCTCCGGGCGTGATTCGGGCGTTGCGGGCACTGCGTCAAAGGAATGACGCGACGTCATTCCACTCCCTCCCCCTCCCCAACGGCTTTATAGCCGTTACAAAATTAAAAAAAGCAAAAATTATTTTTTTTTTCTATAAATTCAAACCCTCCCCCCTCTCAATCTCTCACACTTTCTCTTCTTCTTCTTCCCATTTTAAAATTCGAAATTACTCTATTTTTATTCATCATGAATCCTTCCCGCTCCGGCTTCGTTCCCGACAATCTCCCCCCGAGTGACACCGCGATGTGGTTCTACCAAGAGTGGGGCGATCGACCGCCGATATACGAGACGCAACAATCGGGGTACGTCGACCGAGATTCGGTTCCGGAGACTCAACCAGAACTGTCCGGATCGAAAAAAAGTACACGCCGGAGGAGCCACAAAGCCAAAAGCACATTGACCGATGCGGCACGGTCAATCCAAAAGTGGACGCCGGAGGAGGAGTGCATATTGGCGTCGGCTTGGGTTGACGTCTCNATCCTATCATTGGTAAAAAATTTGTTTTTTCTAATATATTTATATTTTTATTTATATATATTATATTTAATGGTGTCAAAAAAAATTGTGTAATACTTTTTTAAAGGTACGGAGCAAACGAAGGATGCGATGTGGGATCGTATCGAGGAGAAGTTCTTCACGGCGATGAAGAAGGACGGCTCCTACCGAACCCGTGACCAACTCACTTCCAAATGGAGCCACATCAACAAAAAAGTACGAAAGTTTATGGGAGTATACGAGGAATGCTCCCGGTCCCGGACGGCATGAACGACGCCGATGTTCTCCGGCTTGCCACGACCCGGTATCAAGACGACGGAAACCAAGGCAAGGTGCCCATCGATCTTTGGGGGATTTTGAGTCGTTCCCCGAAGTGGCAACAACTCAACCATCCCGACGGCGTATCATTCCAGAAAAGATCCACCGTCGACGCCGAGGTTGAGGTCGACGAGACCATCGGTTCTACCGATCAAATCCCTTCCTTCAACGTTGCGGCTTCCGATGACGAGGACCCCATTCCACGGCCGATCGGAAGAAAGAAGGCAAAATCCATTGCCTCTGGTTCGGGAGGGTCCGCCTCTATTTCCGCTTCTCCCCCCGACGAAATCGGCCGGGCAATGGTTGAACAACTTCGGGCGTTCAATCTCCAAGAACAAGAGAGGTTGAAGCTTAAAGAGAAGGAGTTGAAGCTAAAGGAGCAGGAGGCCGAGATGAAAGTCATGCAAACCGACCCCGGGACGTTGTCGGAGTTTGGACGGATTATCTACGAGCAAAGAATGAGAGAGATCAAGGAGAAATATAATTTACCTTAGTTTTTTTATTAATGTATCTTTTTTTTTAAAATTATTGTCGCTTTTTTATTTAATTAATGTGTTTTTTTATTATTCGTGTTTTAATTTAATTAGATAATAAATTTATTACATTTTATTAATTTAATTTTAGAAGATGTATATTTAAAAATGTAAAAAATGAAGGTTTGAAGCCCAGTTTTGAAGCCCTGGGGCTTCAAACCCATTTCCAGTGAATTTTGGGTGTAAGTTAAAGCTGACGTGGCAGAGAGAGAAAGTTTGAAGCCCCGGGGCTTCAAATGTATTACCAGTGCTCTTATATAAACTTTGAATTTCGTATTTTCTCCCTTCCGATATTTTTCGATTTTCTCGCTTCAACCACGCGATTAATAAATAGAGGGTTTATGTTACAAAAACACAAGAGATGTTATCTAAATAAAACTCTCTTAGTATTAATGCCTTACGAAAACACCTCGATAATTATTATTTATGTGAATTGAAATAAATTGATGGCTTCAGTTTAGGTTTAATTCATTACGAACATTAAATACCCAATCAGACAGTTATTGAGAAGGAATAAATTAGACTTTAATCACATATTTTCTTTGTCTTACTCATTTTTGGTGACCATTTAATAAAATAAAATATTCTGATCACGCTAATTTTGTACTCCCCCCATTTTAAATTAAATAGCTAGTCTATTTACTATTCACATAATTAAACTTTCTTCCCTATTTTTATTACTCGTTTGATTAAATAATGTACTCATGTCACCTACTCATTTGATGTAGGATTTTAACATGTAAAATTTATTTTTTAATTTCACTTCAATTATCGTAAACTGAAAAAAGGAATTTAAATTAGGACAGAATGAGTGGTGCATTATATACTTTTTATTTCTTTATCAATTTGTAAATGAAATAATTTTTAAAAAAATAATATTTTACACATTGTTTGAAAAGTAGTAAACATTGTGACGGAGTTAGAATTGAAAAACTACTTCAAAAAATATACAAAAAATAAATATTAATCAAGTGAATAATAAAAATATGTAAACGAAGTGAATAAAATTTAACTTTGTTGATAATAAATAGAAAAATAATTTTTAGAGAAAGAGAGTATTAAAGAATATATAGGGAGAATTTAATTAAGCATAAGCTCATTAAAGTTAATCCGCACTTTCTTTAACAATTCGGGCAATAGGGCGGGGGACCTCCTTCTCTAATCAGTGGGAAATGGTAGAATGACATTATGTTTTAGTGTTCTTAAAAATATAAAAATAAAGTAAAATAAAATAAAAACCATTGATTTAATTCCACTTCTAGCACCATCCAAGTTGGCACTAACTGCCACATTCTCTCTCCCCCAAATGATTTACTCTTGCATCTTATTGAAAATATGCATAAAATCTCACTACTTTTAAAATAGTTTTATTTACAAATTGAATTAAAATTAGAAATAAAACTTGCTTATATATTCAAAAATTGCATCCAACATCTTAAAAATAAAAAGTGATAAGAATATAACATTTTATTTTATTAAATGATCAATAAAATTATGTAGACAAATAAAACTTAGTGAGAAACAAAAATATTTAAGATATATGCCTTGTTTGGGAAGAGCGTTTTCAATTAGCGTTAGCGTTTTGGATAAAATATAAACGGTGTAGATTAATTCAGAAAACGCTAACGCTGAAGGCTACCGTCAGATAGAATTTTCAAAATGTTAACGCTAATCTCTGACGTTGATACCAAACGGGGCCATACATTATTTTATTTGGAACGGAGATAATAATAAAAAAGTAATAGGATATCTATCACATCATATTTTTTTCTCAGATAATCTATCTGATCTTATTTTTATGCCCTATCTTATTTTTACTTTTGCCCATCATATCAAGTACAAAATTACAATTTAACACTTTTTATTTTTACAATGGAGGGAGTAATTATTTGGAATACACCCTCCTTTTCATTATTTGTCTTCTTAATCAAACAAGTAAAAAAGAACATGATGAAATGCATTTGTGGTGATTATTTAACATATGCCCATTTTGCAAGTGAAATGCAACATGACCATACCGCCCACGGGTTATTAATAAATACAAAGTGGTTGTACTTACTTCAGTAATTAGTAGCGTGTTATTTCCTAAATTGACTAAGTGAAACGTGAATAAAATGTACTAAAAAAATGTGAATAAAATGTTTTGAGATTCAATTTTGCAGGATTGGCTTGCAGCAAGCCCTCCACAAATACTCCGTATATACGGAGTATACACACCCCTTGGCATCCACGACAATGGTTTGAGTTGGGCGTGTTTTAAAATCAATTCTTGGAATTTTCGGATGGGACTTTTTCAGATGTAAATTTAATGAGGTCCACAAAATTATTTTTTCAAATTAATTATGGACAAATAAATCTACTAAGTGAGAAGAGTGTTTCGACGTATTGTACACTAAAAATGGTACTCGATTGAATGAGAAATTAATTCACGAAATCAGACACTTGGAAAGAGTAAACTCATGCATCCTACATCGATTTTGAGACTTTTCACCTCCCAGTATTTACATGCTAGCATTAAATTGTAGGAAAATACTAGGGGTACACCAAAGATGTACCCCATTTATCCTCCACCCCTTCCATTACCACTCAATTAGGCAAGAAAATTAAAAAAAAATAAGTAAATAAAAATCTAAAATAAATGAGTGGTTATTCAAGGGGTGGTGTACAAATAGGGTACACATTTGGTGTGCCCCTAGCATGACCCAAAATTGTATGCTAAAAGGAATTTAAGGAGGAAGAAAGGGAACTTCCATTTTTTTTATCGTGAAACGTCCACCTTAAAAAGGCCAAACATCCACCTTAGATGCCCCCTCACACTCGGCCAGAACGACGTGATAGTGAGAATGTAATTCATGGTATAATCTTAATCTGATCTTTAGAGAGATTGCTTTGTACTCGATGCGCACAAAGAACTACTACCTCCGCCCCGGAGTATTTGTTTAATTTTAATTATTTTGATCAACCATTTTTAACTTGTCATTTAATTAAATAAAATATATATTGTACATTAATTATATAGTATTGTTTTAGTATTAATATCTAATATCATTTTTATTTAATTTGAAGTTAAGCCTACCATTTTTAACCAAAAAAAATAATTATAGACAATTATTCAGGGACGATTGAAGTATTACAAAAAAAAACAAGACTCCACACCATCAAGACATCCTTCCTCCATGCAAGTGAAGCAATTATAAATTAACCATAAAGAAAATGCTAGGGGTACACCTACCTTTGGCGTACCCCGAATATCTCTCATCTCCTCAATCATATAAATTAGCATGTAAAATTAAAAAAATAATGAATAATAAAGAGGCATGTAGTGTATATTTGGAATACAATTTTAGTATATCCCAACATCATCCGTGAGATAAACATAGTATGGCATGGGGATATGTGAGGGACTGGGTGAGTTGGGCTGGCCTGTAACTCTGCAAGCAATAAAAATGTTGACTAAGGATGAATGTCATTGGCTTCTTTTTTATCTTTTAAAATCTTGTCCCACCTCACATTTGTAATGTAGTGCCGCTTTAATTCTCCTAATTACACCCCTACTCCTTTTTTTGCATTTTCACCCCTTTTCTTTTCCTTGTCATTTTCTCTGATCCAGCAAGACTATGAGTATAATCTTAATTTAATTCTTAGAGAAGTCATCCCGTGTTCACTACACACAAACGGTTATTACAAAGGAGAATTTACCTCTTAGCACAAAAATATAGTGACTTTTTAAATGAAGTATCATATATTTTTACTTCTCAATGTAGAATCGTTGTTCAATGTTCACTGGTCATTATTCAAACAACTATTCACAACCACTGGACATTTTTTAAACTAAATATTCAACATTTCTGGACATTGTTTCTCTCACTAGACATTATCCAAGTATTATTTACTGAATAAAAAAATTTAAGTACTACATTAAGAAATGACATACTCCGGTATATATGTTTTAGTGCTACTTAGTGCAAATTTCACAATTACAAATAATAAAACTCCTAAATTATCGCTGACAGATTCGACCATATAATCAATGGATTTGACATCCTTTCTGTTCAAGTAGTTAAGCAACTCATGTTGGTCTTCGTCATTATTTTTTAAAACTTTATATAATATATACTCTGTAGATTAAAAATTTGGGACTGTGCGAGACAGCTACGGGTACAACTTTTCACAATGTAGAACTGTCAAAAATATTTTATTTTATCAAATAATGAACGAAAATGTACAAATAAAAAAATTCCATGATTGTTGTAAAAGGAATTTTAATTTGCCATTCTTTTTGGGACGAAAAGAGCACAAGTTTTTTTATTTAATTTGTATATTTTTTATATTATTTATTAAAATAAATACTTTTTGTCAGTTTTTGTTCTAAAAATTTTTTGATATAATTTTTAAATTTTTATATTCTATTTTTGTACTAACTTTTAAATAAAATAAATTAAACAATCTAAAATTTTATTTTATTTTACATAATCTAGTAAAGATTTTGGGACAAAATTGTCTTAGAAACTTTGGTGTTGGGGTGCTATTTTTCTCTTTAGTTTTTTTAGAGGACTTACTACCTAAGTAGCTAGTAGTAAAATGAAAATAGGTAGCGTGCTAATGTGCTATAGCAGTTGTAGGGTAGGGGGCTTCGTCAAGATCCTCCGTATGTAGGACACTGTCCGAATCTTTTGCCCTTTTCCCAAGCAACCCTTTAGTTACTCTATGAATAATACCTGACAAAACAATAGTACCTTCACATGTGAACATTAATTTTTTAAATTGTTTAAAGGTACGGAGTAAAAAAGGATGAATTCCATTCCCGAAGATCTTCTCAATTGAGGCTAGATTATCAATAAAAGATGGTAAATAAATAAATAATGGAGTTTTTTATTGGGATAATGTTTAAATTTGTAACATCATACACACGACTTTACAACTCCTTATGATATTATGTCAAAGAATCATTTGAATAAAAAAAAATTTAACAAATGACTATCTGTCCAAAAAAGATTCTAAAATCTAACATTATTTCTCTCCCACAATTCGAATATAAAGTTGTCGTGGTGGTTTATTACGTTTGACGAAAATTATTCTTAAACTAAATTTCTTAAAAATTTTATTAAATAAGAAGTGACTAGGCTATACTTCCTCACACCCAAGCAATTTTTTAAAGTTCAACTTCTTTTGTAAAATTTTACAAAAATTGATCTGAACGGTGGAAAAAATATACTCCGTATTTAATTATAACATAAATGTAATATACTCCTATATGATTAAGTGAATTTATTTACCTTCAAGTACTATATTTCTAAAATACGAAAAATTGACATCATACGCTAAAAAGTGTTTGTGAGTACATCATTTTAGGCTTTGATAAAGAAAATACCTCTACCACACAATTTACATCTTCTGAATCACAATTCATAATTTGAAGTAGAAAAAAAGATATTTTAAACACGAATTTATAAAAAACTAAAATATCATGTTTTAATGCTAGCTACGTAGTTTATAACTTTGTGTAACTTTTTTTCATTGGCAATCAATTTTTCACTTCCTATACAAAATATGAAATTTATATAGTAATTTTTTTATTCTCTACACAAATAGTACGGGTAACGGTAATAACAATGCTTTTTCATCATTAAATACGGTGAAAGAAAAAGAGAGTTCTTAAATTGTTAGAACATACGGAGTAACATCTTTACTGAACCTATAGTCGCAAGTTTAAATTTTTATTCAATTTAATTTATTGATATGATATTAAAGTCATATTGACTAAAACATCAGAAATATGAACCTAGAGAAGAGAAAAAGAATCAATACAGTCGGACTAAAAATGTCATTTTTAAAAAAATCTTTAAGATCGTAACTACCTAGTCTGATCTTCAAAAAAAAGAGAATGACCAAATAAGACCACAAGTCTTATATAGTCTCCTAGTATCTTAAAAAAAAGAATGACCAAATAAGACCAAAAGTCTTATCTAGACTGGTTTGTCATCCAATCCCTGGTCCTAATGTACAAATAGTCTAATGAACAAAGTTCGTTTATACAACTTTTTTTGTTTACTACTTATTTTTAAAAAATCATATCAGATCTCAGATCAAATCTAATTTAATTAGATCAGATCATATTAAAAAATATTAAAAATAATATTACTATTTTTTCAATGATTAACTAATAAATACTATTTGATAAAACCAAATTACTTTTTTTAAAGTTACATACACCGAGATACTACTTAATATTATAATTTTAGATATGATAAATGATAATAATAATAATAATTTGAGACAACTGAAATAATACTACTCCGTATTATTATTACTATTACCAAGTAATATTATACTTCCTTCAATATATATAGAATAACTACTCATTTCATTTCATAGAGACTAGAAAACTATAGTGATATTGAAAAGGTATTAAATATTACTCGGGGTATAAAGTAAATGATTAAATTAGTTAATGATTAGTTATTGTTAATACGGAGTAATTTTTTATTTTACTTCTTCAATGTATATTGAATTCTAATTTTTGTTTAATGAATCTAATAATTCTAAAATAAAGTGCTTGATTGTATTATATGTTTTTGAATTAATTAAAAATTATATGAATGATCATTATAATGTTTTAAAAATATTGTAGTAATTTCAAATTTATTTGAACAAATTTAAATCTAATCATATCAGATCAAATCTAATCATAAATTAGATATACTTATATCAAATCTACCTTGACTACCTTGGTTCATATCATTACTAAAACAAATGTTACTATCTATTTATGGAAATAAAAATTATTACTCCGTATATTGGTACCAAACATCACGTAAATACACCATGGCTTGTTACCTGCCTTTCTGTCCCTAGCTCCCCTTTGGATTCGAGTTGGATAGCCTTTTTATGTCTTTCCCACTTTCTTTTTAAAGAAAAAAATTGGTTAATGTATTTTTTTTTTACCTCAAAACGAATTACAATTATTCGGAAACATGGATTCTTTAAATTTAAACTATACAAAAAAGAGAGATTTATTTCTTTCGAGACATGCAAAAAATGATTTATTTTCATTTTTTTGATTATTTTTGAGTATAACCTTCTCTGTCTTTTTAAAATTAATTTTAACAACATAATTTTACTTTAAAGATATTTCTTGCCAAATTAAACTAAAAACTCTTTTTGAATTGAGGATTGAACTTCATCTGGACACCAAAAGAAGCATTACACGGAGTATATTTAGGTCATGTCTTTCAAGCATTACATGTGGAATACTTTTTGCACCTTTACATGTACTCCGTATCATAATTAATAAGAAAGTTATGCTTATGTAGTTCTAAGGTTATTATGTTGCATTTTTTTCTATTAAAGTATCAATTTTCATATAATCTAACTTGTCACGTAGTGACATACACGTAGTACGTTATAGAAATGGACTGCAACAATATGTGACTCATTAAGACCATTTTTTAAAACATGAATCATTAAGTATAATCAATTCAATAGTCACAAATTCTCAAACCATTTCATTTTATTAGTAAGCTAGTGGCATATATACGCCTAGCCAAACATGCTCTAATCATGCCTTACTTTTAAGAAAGGAATTTATGCAACAAAGCAAATGGGTATGTGCATATGCCTCTCTGCGGCTCTAAATTAAACAGGCCAATGCATTACAGCTCCTACACACCACTATCTTAAAAAAGTCTTCCTCTCAACCATCAAAGGATCTTCAGAGAGAAAAATCTAACTATAATTACATACCGACTAGCAAAAATTAAAACATGAACTTTATATGAGAGTGATAATTTCGTGTATTTGAGATTCACTTTTAGTTTCTAGATCTTCTGACAAAAATTATTCGATATAAAAGCTAATAGGGAAAAAAGGCATGTTTCACCCAAGCTAATGTGTGTAATGTTAGTCCTTATCCTAATTGTAGTCGTAATCCCCTAATCCAAATTGTAATCCTCTAACACAAATCTTAATCTTAATTGTAATGTTAACCCCAATCCTAATCCCCTTATCTTAATCCTAATTCCTAATCCCAACCTCCTAATATTAATCCTAAATACTAATACTAATATCAATACCAATACAGATGTCATTACTAAGGAGTTCACATCAACAAAGTGCATATAATAGGAATGAACTTAAGGATCATGGAAGTATTTGCATGTCAGATGAATAATGAAAATTTAAAAAAAAAAAAATAAAGTTTGAATCAATTGATAATAAATAGACAATTTAATTTGGAATAGAAAGAGAAATAGTTTGCAATATTAAATTTGAACTATATGATTATTCGAATTTGAATTATTATTGTGTGGTGAGAAATAAAGCTATGTTTGTTTGTGTAAATATCCTTATAATTGTTCTTTTTCATTTTGGACTACTCCGTATTATATTTATTAATTTAATATTATTATTATTATTAGATCGGGCCTTGTTGATCCGCGAGCTTGACCACACAACCTCTAAGTTTGCATTCCCAAATTTTTGACGGGCCTGACCAGCCCGTACCCAAACATAAAAGACCAATTACTTTGGGCCAGGGTTTTGTGAGTGAGATCGAAACCCGGGCCCACAATAGGGCCTATTATTGACTTTCAAACTATGTTCAAAGAAAGGGCAGGGAGGGGGGTAAATGGTAAATAACCCTTGGACAGTCACGTGGTCCGGTCTGCGCTACTGTTACTTTGGCATGACAGTCACGTGTCTCCTCCTTCATTTCTCCCCTCCATTTACGTTTCATTTCAGACCTCTGCCCCCACTCACTCTCGACAATCTTCCCCTCCCTCCGTCGAATCCCCCCCCCCCACTATTTATACGCCACTCCAAACCCGTAGCTTTCACACAGATCTCCCGGTGATTCATCAATGGCGGCCTACACTTCCTCTGTGCCCGCCACTCCTCTTCTGAAAGACGAGCTCGATATCGTGATCCCCACGATCCGGAACCTGGATTTCCTGGAGCAGTGGAGGCCGTACTTCCAGCCCTACCACTTGATCATTGTCCAGGACGGAGATCCTTCCAAGGTCATCAAGGTCCCCCAGGGATTCGATTATGAGCTCTACAACCGCAATGACATTAACCGGATCCTCGGCCCCAAAGCCTCCTGCATCTCCTTCAAGGATTCCGCTTGCCGTTGCTTTGGATACATGGTCTCCAAGAAGAAGTATGTCTACACCATTGACGACGATTGCTTTGTGAGTTCTATTCCGATCCCATCCCTCGTTTTCTTCTCTTGTGTTTTTTTTTTTGATCTGATAATCTCCATCTTTAGTTCCAAATTGTGATTTTCGCCTTTTTTGATTGTCTGATTTGATTCCGGTTTCGAATAGATCTACTTCAGTGTTTCTGATTACTGCTTTAGATTTTGATTTTGGTGTTTTTTTCTTCAGAATTGCTGAACTGTTTTGTTTCCAGAATGGATCTTCTCATATGTCTCCAGTTTAGTACTTTGATCATTCATATTTGCATTTATTCATGGAAATATTTTATGAAAATTTGATATTTCAAAATCACATTTTATAATGAAACTGTTGATATTATATTAATGGACTTTTAAATCATTCGACTATTCTGCATTTAGAATGTCTTTTTTAATGCTCCGAATATGGATTAGAATGAATCCTTGGAATTGACATTGCAAGGTCTTTTCTTTGGCATGTACAGGTAGCTAAAGATCCTTCTGGAAAGGAAATTAATGCGCTGGAGCAGCACATTAAGAACCTGTTATCTCCATCATCTCCATTCTTCTTCAACACATTGTATGATCCCTACCGAGAGGGAGCAGACTATGTGCGCGGGTACCCCTTCAGTCTCAGAGATGGTGCCCCAACCGCTGTTTCTCATGGCCTGTGGCTTAACATCCCAGATTACGATGCCCCAACCCAGCTTGTCAAGCCCCTTGAGAGGAACACTAGGTCCATTGCTATGACTCTGGTCATTCTGTATATACTGTATAGTAATGATTTAATCAGGCTCATCTAACCAAATCAGTATATCATGCCCAAATGCTTCTATCCATCAATTCGTTTGATGGTTTTAAGTATTTAGCTGTGACATATTTGGTTAGACTTGCCTTAGGAGATCATTACTAGGCATACACACTCAACTTGGGTCGAGCTAACGCATTGCTATGTTTCTCTAGGTATGTTGATGCGGTGATGACTATACCAAAGGGAACCTTATTTCCAATGTGTGGTATGAATTTGGCATTTGACCGTAATCTGATTGGCCCTGCCATGTATTTCGGACTAATGGGCGATGGGCAGCCTATTGGTCGCTATGATGATATGTGGGCTGGCTGGTGTACCAAGGTAAAGTAGTACTACACACTCTATGGTCTTGTTTGGGAGCTAGATTTTTCATGATTGTATTTTAGAATTTAGATTGGATAGGAGTTGTTCAACCGAATAACAAGACACTTTTACTAAATCACACTTATATTGAATTCATTCGATTATCTAGTTCAAATCCAGGACTTATTAACCGATCATTATTTGTTCTTCAAAGTTCTGAGGTGAGATTCTAATTTTGTTTCCGGGGGAGGGAGAGTCCAATACAAATGATCAGCTAGTTGAACTCAAAATTACTCGACTGGCCAAACGTAGCGATAACACCTATAGAATCACGAGTTGTTGGGTATGGACGTCCACATACTCAATCATGTTAAATGGCCTTGTGTATGAACGAACTTCCATACGGGCATTAGGCTAAAGAATTACGGGTTGTTGGGATTGTACTAGACCGGACAATTGTACAAATGAGGCGGGCCAAAATCTATTCCAATACCATGTCAGAATATTAGATTGGGTAGAGGTCACTCTCAACTGGACCATTAGATATTGCAACCTAATCACGTAAGAGGTTGAATCCAATTGTTCAATTCAAAACCTTAATAACCAATTATTTTCTCTTCAAAGATGTTACATGGGACTCTAACATTGTATATATCCTTGAGGTAAACATATTTTGCGAACGAATCTGTGGATTCCTGCAGTGTTTGAAGCTGTTAAAAAAATAAACTCTAAATATTATACTCATCATAGCTATATAGTATGTCATGTTCATATAATGAGTTCCATCGCCGATCTATCATTGTGGCCTGGTGTACCGTAGGTGATCTGCGACCACTTTGGGTGGGGAGTGAAGACAGGACTGCCGTACATTTGGCACAGCAAGGCCAGCAATCCGTTCGTGAACCTTAAGAAGGAATACAAGGGGATCTATTGGCAGGAGGAGCTCATCCCGTTTTTCCAGTCGGTCACCCTCCCAAAGGAGTGCACCACCGTGCAGTCGTGCTACCTTGAGCTGGCCAAGCAAGTGAAAGCCAAGCTTGGCAAGGTTGATGCTTACTTCACCCAGCTTTCTGATGCCATGGTCACTTGGATTCATGCCTGGGATGAGCTCAACCCGCCGCCACCCACCACTGCCACCCTCCCCAATGGAACCTCCACAAATGGCTCCAAGTCGTCGTAAAGCTATCTTTCCCAGGAGGCCATGCTTGGACTTGTACTTCCGTTATATTCTAGGCTTTGTGTAAGGATCCGAGAGAGTACTTTTTTTCTGTCTTTATTTATTCTTCAATATTATGAATTTCAAACCATATCTTTTTTTCCAGCATTAGAGTCTATATCTATATGATACACATACACACAGTGAGAAAGTGAATTTTTATTTTTGTTACTACAGAAGTATGGATTAATCATATGTTGTTATACATGGGGCTCTGATTGTTTGTCTTAGGTTTCAATATGCACCATGCCTGCAGTGTGATCTTTCAAATTTTGTTACTAATGAGTTGAACTATGAGCATTATGGCAAACGGAGTATTCACTATATTATTATAGGGAATATTCTAGTTAAGATTTTATTTGGTTGGTTGATAACAACCACTAGGGTTCTAGGGCCACTCAGTTTCGGAATACACCGACTCAGTTGGGACACCTACGGTATTAAATTGATACGGAGTACTTCGTAGTTTCTACGAGCCAGCCACGATCTGAAAACATATCCACACTCCCGTCAATAGCACATTGCACCCCACAAGTTTAGTTGACTTTGAGGTCAAAACTTTTGACCCCAAAATTACCTAAACTTGTGTGGTGTAATTGACGGGATGTGAGCATGGGTTCGGGTTCCATGGAGCCCAAAATGAAATTTATTGCCTTCACATAATTTTTTTATAAAGATAAAGGGTAGTGTTTCATTTCAATATTAAGAGGATTTAAGACACCTTTCACATTTTTCATCAAATACGGAGTACAATCCTCCTATTTACAATAGCAGCTGGAAAAAATTCCCGCTCAAGTGATGCACCAACCGTCCAAGCACGATCTCAGCACTCAACCGTCCAGGCACGATCTCTAAACTCACAATCACTAGACGCTACCATCTCACCCCCAATTCCATATCTCTTTTTCTATCGAATCTGTGAGCTATGTTCTCAGCCGTGCAACACAGGCTGATTTTGCGTCGGATCTTCTTCACGCGTTGAGCCTAGGGCAGATCTGTAGCGCTAGAAGGGAGACAACAGTGATAAAGGATAATGCAGGGACGACGGATGACAGCACCAGACTAGGGTTTCGACCATTAAATTCAGAAAACAACTCCTATGCTTCGCGCATCATAGATCGGAGAGTAAACAGAGAGGGATACTGAATTGACCAGAATGAAACAAAGAAGACCGAGAGAACTATGAGAACATTGCCTTTTAATGAAGAGGTACAAGTTGAGGTCATGATGAGGTTTCAAATTTATCTTCTTTCCTTCCATAATCCTATATATCTCTATATCAATTTTATCTTTATTTTATCAATTTTGTAGTTTCTTCTAAAAAAACAAGTCTAGATTTTGTTTAGACCCATTTTTTAAATTAAACCCCAATCCATCTGTTTTGTTTTGATTTTTTATTTCTCAGCGAATCCATGGAGAGCCTTTGAGCTTTTGATTTCTTTGTATTTCTTTGATTTTTTAATGTCAAAGCCAGTATCATGAATTAGTGTCAAAGTAGGATGTTTCTCCATTATTAGGATTAGAAACATAAAAGATGATTTACAAATTATTCTTACAAACCACCCCATGAAATTAGAGATATAGTTAAGGGATTCCACCGCTAATCCACGTAAGTGCGTCGCTAAACAACCTAAACTTCAGGGCTAATTCCAAGTTAGTCAACTTCAAAAAAGAAGCAAAAAATATTATTATAGACTGGGGTGGTTATACTTATGGCTAGCTTTTTTCTATATTTTTGTTTTAGATCGATATGTTGTAGGAAATGAATTCTATAGGTGGTTACATAGAAAATGTCTTATAGATATGAGGTTAGAAAATTCCAAATCATGTTCTTTTCATGTTTATTTCATTAGTGCTTGGTGACATGAAGCAAGAGAAAGAAGAAAACCCTATCCCAAGCGCCCCACAATGTCCAATAAGCTGTATAAAAAACCATCAAGGCCTAGAGAAGAAGACTATGTATCTTGATGAAGATGATTATTGGAGAAGATGAAGGTGATAGGGAGGTATATTTATTATTTTCCACACCAATCAATAGGTTTTGTTTCAATTTATTTGTATTGAGATTGTGATACATTTCATGTCTTAATTTTTTTCTAAAATACTGATTGTAATTATGGGAATTACTTTATTCTATGTAGTGTTCAATATTTTCATTCATCAAGCACAGTGAGTCATATTCAATTATTTGTTCAACTCTAAGCTTATATTTCTCTTTTACAAATTTTGAGATTTCAAAATTCAAGCTGTTTCATTGCCTTCATACCTTATAATCCTTAAAATTAAAATATATATAAAATTCATATTGGATATTCTAAAGCAATATTCAAGTAAAAGGAATATATATTCGGTGTGCAGGAATATGATGGCTTCCTTTTTTCACCACTCAGAAGAAGAATGTGGTAAACTTTGATTCATGGCAACAACTATGCAAGGCTCGACGATTTATCTCATTTGGTATTGATCATTTTATGTTTAATCTTATGTAAATTGCTAGCCCTTTCTATTTATATCTTTTGTTGCTTTAGTGAGTTTAAGGTAGGAAGTGAATGCATGATTCACTAGAGATGGCAACCTTGGGCAAGGGCTTGGACCATGCTATGTCAATGTACCAAAGTGACTCACCAGCAGGTCTCAAAGATCAGGGATGGGAGAGCTTGGACCATGATTGTGTTGGAAGTATAATGAGAAAATCAGTGAAATCGTGTAGCAGTCTCTTCTATTTAATTTAGCTGATCAGAGAGCCTTAAAAGTATAAGTTCGATTACCATGCTCAATTGTTTGGAGAGGCAGCAGTCCTCTTCCGTTGGATAGCTTTATGTTGCTATCTCCCGTGTGACAAATCGTGAAGGACTGAAGATCTTATGTTGTGATGAAAAAACAATGTTTTGGACTACACTTCAAATGTTGTATATAAAGAAGTCTTCCAGAATTTATAATACATTCTTATATGTAAAGTTTATTTATGTGTAATGTACTCTTATATGATCTAAGACTTTACAAAATGCATTGTTGTTCGAAATATGTGGTATTCGTGTGTGATATATATTAAATTGTATTTTCTACCATATTAACACATTCAAATTTACTTATTGTTTACACAAATAAAGGTAATTTATTATTATATTATTCTGACCGTGCATAGCACGGGTAAAATCTAGTATAAACATTTCTCACACAGAAAAAAATGAGGCAAATAAAATAAGCCAACTATATTGGCGAGCGAACAATAAACACATTTAATGCAATAAACGTCGGCGTTAACATTGTGAGAATCACGCCAACGACAAAGGAAAACACTCAATCAACGAATAGAGCAATAGAGAAATCATGCTTCCCATTTCTTAAACATCTTTATCTTTCCCCCTAGTTTTTCGTTAAAAAAACTCCTTTAACGGCAATTTAAAATGATGATGGAATATATTTATATATATATATATATATATATATATATATATATATATATATATATATATTGAAATTTGATACTCCGTACTAAACAAGTTTTCAAATAAGTAATATCCATCACAGATCTATAATTTTAAAATGTCAATAAATTCCTTTTCAAATCAAACATGTTGATCATATTATCTTTCTTTCAAACTCAATATATCCAGGATTTGATATATATCTCCATCAACAAGTAACCAGCACCTACTGCGATTCACGTTTTCCGTCACAAACAACTTTCATATTGTTATATCTTCATATTTCAGAACACATATCATATTAAACTTGCAGAACTCAACATACAAGCCACGAGTCTTTTAGATTAGGTATTATATTACATTATTACTCCCTCCGTCCCAAAAAGATTATCACGGTTACAACTTGGCTTCTCGATAACGTTTGTTTGTTTACTCGTTTTCAAACACAATTTGAGAAAATAAAATACTATTCTCGCATCTTATTTTGTAGATTTTTTGTTGATGTAATTTTGAATGATATAATTTATACTTCGATCTCTATCGATTTGTAAACAAAATAATTTTACTTTTTACCGATTTGTACGAAGTATTTCTTACTTCTCTACCGATTTGTAAACAAAATAATTTAAAAAGAGATGATGTTTTGCACGTTGTTTGAATGTGGTGAATATTTTTGGGATGAGAGAGTATTATCGGAAAAAAGTCTAAAGTAGGAGTAAAACATTGAAAATATATCAAATTAGGAATTCCATGTTTTTATTCCTGAAATAAGAGTTGAAATTCATTTACATTACCAATTATGACCATGTATATTACCAAAAAAATATAGTAAAATGTATATGTACAGTGTCATATTATCACAATACAAATCCTATTTAGAAAATTAAAACATAGAACTCATATTTTAATATTTTCTCAATATTTTACCGTGATTTCATAGTATTAAAAGACATTCCAACTTTATTCATTTGAATTTGTGTAATAAAGTACTCCGGATAAAATGCCATTTATTCAACGTCAAATACCATGTTTTTTTTAAATAGGATACCATGTTTTTATATAACTGAAATGACACGGAATATGGCAATTTTAGAAAAGTAAATAAAAAATTACAGTGTTAGAAAAAATTACAAAAAGAAATAAAAAAGAGATAAAAATCAGGTTGTATCCCACATTGCTGTTTCTTTTTTTAGAAACTGGAAAAAGTATTTTCAAAAGCGTGAGAATCTTTTGAAAAAATTGAAACACGTAGAGGAAAAAAAGACAAAAAGTTGCTTTACTCATATTTTACCGTTCCCTTTCTCATTTTTTTACGGGAAATTATTGAACAACATTTTCAATGGGCACGGAGTAAATTTTGAACACAATGATAATCATTTGAGAAATTAGATGCATTAGTTTCACATTTAAAATAAAGATATTCAATCAATATTTAAATCTTATTCCATCTGTCCCACTATTTTCAGACATGAAAAAATATCACAAAATATAAAAAACTAATATATATATATATATATATATATATATATATATATATATAGTATCAATTTTAAAATAAAATGAATTTAAAAAAATCTTAAAATTTCACTTCGTTTTGCATAAAGTGAATATAATTATAAATAGAAAGAAGTACTCCCTCCGTCCTAAAATTAACTTCCCATTTGACTTTTCACGATCTCCAATGCGACACTTTGACCATCAATATCTCAATTTTAATACTATATAAATATATTTTATAAAAATTATATATTTCAAAACTATATTCCAAAATGAATCTATTCCTAATAAATTTATATGAAAATTCAATGTATTTTTTCCTTAATCTATAGTCAAAGTTTAAAAAATTTGACTGCAAAAGTCAATCTGGGAAATTAATTTTAGGACGAGGGAGTACTTGTTTTTAAATAAAATTATTATAATAAGGATAAAATCCCTCCGTTCTAAAAAAGAGTTTGACAAAGTTTAAAAATAAGAAAGTGTTAAATTGTAGTTGACTTCCAATTTTACCCTTGATGTGATGTGTAAAAGTAAGATGTGATGAATATGTTATTAGAGAAAAAGTATGTTGTGATAGGTAGGATATGAAAAAGTAAAGGTACAAATGATTTTTAATAAAAAGTGGAAATGTTTTATTGGAATTGGAAAAAATGAAAGAGAAAGAGTTTTTGAGAACAGAAGAAGTATTTTAGATTTTTTAAAAAGTATAAAAAATAATTAATTTTTTACATAAAAGTATAAAACGAATTGAATTTTAGATTTTTTTATATTAATTTTATTTAAGGATATATATAAATTAAAGTTTACATATAAAATAAAAAACAATTATTTTATAAAATTTTTCATGAAAATTTACAAATAAAATGGCTTATATATTTTCAAATAGTGAAACGCAATACAATTGGAGAATTCTGCGTAATGGAGCACATTTCTCAATCAATCACTCCATCAATCAAGATGAGTCTAATCATATGGAACGCGCATTCCTATATTCCTTTTTCTTCCATAAAAAAAAACTTCATACTCAATAGTCATTCATAAAAAAAAAAAAAACTTTTATCTACGAACTCTGACCTTTGTAAGTAATAGTCCCAGACTTCATTTTTTGTTATCAATATATAACCAAAGTCTAATTTATTATTTCTCAATGATTGTGTGACCGGGTTTGAGGGGACCTTAAAGATGAGACTCGTCATTTTTTTAATTAATTTTATACGAATAAAATAAAACAATTACAGAGCACTTTATAGTATCAAATTTAACTCCGCATATATATATATATATATATATATATATATATATATATATATATATATATTGGTTCAGGTGAGAATGCGATCTTATAAAAGAAATAAGAATGAATCTGGTGCTTTAGATTGTGAGATCTAAGGGTTAGGATTGCATCAAAATTAGGTGCACCAAAATGGTTTGAAAATGTATCATGTCAAAATGCACCAAAAACCTTTGAAAATGCACTATCTCAAAATATGAGCGCAGGATGCAATCTGAGCCGCATGATGCATCAGATCCAAAGGCCAGATTTTATTCTTATTTCTTTCACCAAGGTGCATTCTCACTTGATCCAGCCCCTATATATATATATATATATATATATATATATATATATATATATATATATATATATATATATATATATATATATATAAAGACACCCCAACTGCATCTCACTTCAACTTATTATTACTACTCCCACCTTAAATACGTACGGTGTAAATAGATACCCGCAGATTAATTCATTTCTGCACCAAAGGAGCGATTTAATTTATCTAAAGAAATAAAAAGAAATAAATCAAAAAGAAAGAAAGAAAGATGCTGGCGCTGCTGGGGTGTGCGGTGTCCCACGTGTCATCACGGTCGCCCATCCGGACGTACAAGAAATCCGGCAGCCTGATGGAGGATCTGGAGAAGTCCATGTTCTCCGCCCGAAGCAGCGCCGCGTCGACGGGATGTCTCAACGGCGGCGCCGACACGAAGCCGTCGTCGCAGGATCAGCAGTCGGCCGCGGCAAACAACAAAGTGATGGTTGTGGTCAACCATAGCCCGGAAGCCGAACACGCGCTGCAGTGGGCTCTCACCCACACTATCCAAACCCATGATGTTGTCGTTCTCCTCCACGTCACCCGCCCCTGTAAACAAGGTTAATTATTATTAGTCTCAGATTATTATTAAATCTCTTTTTTTTTACTATTTCTCCATATATTATTATTTATACTCAAAATATAATTATAGAGTAATTAGAGTCTAAATATATAGCGTGAGGGGTAATATATGCACATAATTGGGGAGTAATTAATTTAATTTAATTAATTTGCAGGTGGGAACTCGAACAGTGAACACAATAATGTGAGGGCCGGCCATGACGTTCTTTGTAAAATGGAGAGCATTTGTCAAGCAATGAGACCCGGGGTATGTATGTAATTATAAGCATTTATATTACTCTTATTTTATTAGTGTAAACAACTGTTAGTCTTTTAATATACTTCCTCCGTCCCAAATTATTGTCACATTTGCTTTTTCAACAGTCGCGGGAACTTTTGTTTATTTCTACGTTTTCATTGGTTATTTGATAAAATAAAATATTCTTGACACCTCTTATTTCGAAGAATTTTTCATGTAGTTTTTTGATATGTAATTTTTATTTTTTATTTCTTTACCAATATGTAAATAAAATGAATTGAAAAAACTTGATATTTTGCCTCGATAATAGAAATGTGACAAATAATTTGGGACGGAGGGAGTATTTATGTCGAGACTTTTATCCTCAACCAATATTTTATTTAGTTTATTTGTGACAAGCTTGCACTAATGATTGCTTCCCTCCTTCCCATATATATCTTCTCATTATGGTTATGAAATTCGATTGACTTTATATTCAATAGTCAATACGATTTAATTGATTGAGTGAGAAAAATAAATTTATATACTAAAAAAGTAAATAAGAATTTTTCAAAACAAAATGTGTTAAAACTATAATTTCGTGGTCCCGTAAAGCATTTTTCATTTTGACTTTTAAGAAGGAAACTTTTGAGGTTTGACCAAAGTTAGATAACGACAATTGAAACCAGTATGGCTCGAGAATTGTCAAAATGGGTATACCGTAGAAGGTAATTGAGATAAATTCGGTTAGATTTAAGAAGAGTAAAAGCAATTGCGTTTGTTTAGCCTACATTGAAATGCTTTATAAGACAAGTAAAATATGAAAGTTGAAAAGTTTTACGGAACGGAGGAAGTATTATCTTCTAAATAGAGTAGTAAAAATAAAAAAAATAATGTGAATTAAGTTTGACATTTTGGTGTATATGGAAAGATCGGGACGGAGTTAGATGGAACATTAAATGATTTGCCAAATTTGTCATGCCAATTAGTGGAAAGTAAAAAAGAGAAAGTTCTAAAGTAAGGGTAGACGAGTCATTTTAGTTAACTAATAATTTGGCGATATGTTTGGCAATTAAGATTTGGGTTTCAAATCAAGATTTAATTTATGAATTCAAATAAATGTATAGGTTCGGGTGAACTGTGTGCTGCAACAAGGGAAGGAGAAGGGGAGTGTGATAGTGGAAGCAGCGAAGCAGCAGGGAGTGAGCCTGCTGGTTTTGGGCCAGAAGAGAAGATCCAAGCTGTGGCGCCTCCGCATGGCCTGGTCCACTCGGAGGGCCCAATCTAAGCTCATCAACCACTGCATCCATAACGCCGCCTGCATGACCATCGCCGTCCGCCGCAAGAACCGAAAACACGGCGGCTATTTGATCACCACCAAGAGCCACAAGAACTTCTGGCTTTTGGCTTAATAATCTTACCCATTCATTCTTTCATTCATACATACATATATATTATATCATCATTTTTTACTACCAATCCCAATCCAATGCTTTCACATATACATATGCATGCATCTACTATATAATTTTGTGCATTTTTGTATTAATTAATTAAGAGATACCTAGCTTGGATTAATCTATTCATATTGTTCTACTCCGTAGCTAGCTATACTTAATGTTGCATTTGTTTTTTTTTTCAACTTGGAACATTATATATATGCTCAACTAATTATTTTGAGACACATTTTAGCTAGTGTCCCTTTTGTATTACTTCCTCCGAACAAAGATGATAATGTACGTCACCCAAATTAAATTCAATTAACATGACTTTCTTGTCATAATATGACAACTGAATGATCTAGGCTTCAGCCTACGCTATGATGAACTCTTTTCGACAAAAAAATTTTTCATGCCCCTAACACTCTACGTACAAACCCCCCATCCTCATCCTAATCCCCGCTCTATCCTCGATCTTGAACCCGGCCTACTCTCAATTTAGATGACAATCCAGTTTCACATTAAAATTACACATTTATTATTTCCCTTTATCTCAAACTAATTAAAGAGCAAATATTCCGGGTGTCATTTTGGAACAAAATACTTCTGTCTCGGAGTAATCTTGTAATTTACTTTTTTCGAGTAAACATGAATTAATTTAATGATCAAGTACAAGTCTAAGTAAATTATTTTTATATTGAAAATATAATTTAAGATCAAACTAGATAAACATTCTAAGATTGTAGACAGTAATTTTGCCCTTCAATCTAAAATTCAAAGCAAGGTTCTCATGTCATTAAACTTCAATATCATTGGATGACATTGACGTACCCCAATTAGCATACCTGCGGTGTTCGATTCATAAAATTGATATATCCTACCCTCAAAACATTTTGAACTTACTTCACACATGGTTTAATTACGCCTCATATTATGGAAATAAAATCATTAATTACTTTTATGAATCGAAAAATTAAAGCTAATGTCAGGAGAACTAAAAAATGAATCAGAATTGAGGAGTAGACATTGATATAGAGCAGAGAAGAAAGAGTTTCAACGGGAACGTACATACGTGTGTCATGATGGCTCTACTTCTACGACAGCTCGCTCATCATAGCCGCCGGAATCCGGGGACCAGGGAGGGAACACCGACCAACTTCCGGCGGTTAATTAAATTTTTACTCATTACCAATCGGAAAGAAAAATAAATTAAATCTATACTCCGCTCAAACTTAAAGTTCGTCATATTTTTTTTTTCTGGATGAACGAATTGTAATTAGGATATTATTAAGGTACAATTAAGCGTAATTGGCATTTATTTCCTTATAAATCTCCTCTCTCTTCATTAGGGAATTTAAAAAAAAAAAAGTAACTCCCCTGCATCCTCTCTATAATTATAGTAATTAACTTCTTTTATTTAATTTCAAAATTCAAATCCTCAATTCCCTCCCCCAACATTACCTTAATTTCATCGAATTGAAGCGCTAACAGTTAATCACACGTCCAAATAATTCTCATTCTTCAATTCTGAGTATTAACACGTTATAATTATCATAATCTCCTTCATGCTTATTGATCGAACGAATAATAGTACGATGAACTTGGACCCCAGTGATGGCGGCAGAGGCAGAGAGAGCGACGACGGGAAAAGGTTGCCGGAGGAGGAAGAAACGGCGGCGACGAATGAGGAAGACGACGGCAGTTGGCCCCACTTCGAAGAGGAGGACTACATAGTTTTCTGCTTCACCGAGGACGGAGATATTCACGTTGTTGAAGACAGAAGATCCGAGTCGTCCTCTGCCGTTCCTCGTACAAACAAAAAGCTTAGGTCACTTCGCCGGAGGGTAAGATCGTCTTTTCATATTTCAAAAATATGTTAATCGTACATCAATTAGACCCAATGATGGTGTCAAATTAGGTGTAACCGTAGCACAATTATATCTTTTTTCATGGTCGACCTCCAATATACTACTTACCCGTTCTCAAAAACACTTTCTCTTTCATTTTTTTCTCTTCCAGCAAAACACTCTCACTTTCTATTAAAAACCACTTTTACCCTTACTTTTTCATACCCGACTTATCACATCATACTTTTTCTCTAATAATCTATCCATCACATCTTACTTTTACTCATCACATGAGGGGCAAAATTGGAAGTCAACTATAATTTAACACTTTCTTATTTTTACTCCAAGTCAAAATAGGAACTTTTTTTCCAAACGGAGGGAGTATTGTTTTGCGTCAATGTCTCTAAAAGGATATATATGATGGTGTCAAATTTGGTGTAACCCTAAAGCAATTCTTAATCATTTCATGCTCGGTAAAGGTTTGTATTTCGAGCCTTGCATGTAAAATTTTATTTTGTACTCTCTCCGTTCTCAAAAACACTTCCTCTTTTATTTTTTCCACTTCCAACAAAGCACTTCCCCTTTCTATTAAAAAACCACTTTTACCCTTACTTTTTCATACTCTACCTATCACATCATACTTTTTCTCTAATAATCTATCCATCACATCTTACTTTTACCCATCACATCAGGGACAAAATTGGAAATCAACTATAATTTAACACTTTCTTATTTTTGCACCCAAATCAAAATGGGAAGCCTTTTTTCAAACGGAGGGAGTACTTCGTAAATTGATTGATTGTGAAGTTGGGATTCATTACTTTTTACTACTTATTAGGCTCTAAACATCATAACGTTAAAAAACCAATCTGAACAAACACTCAAGTTTATGGTTACAGACAAGAAAGATGTTTATATTCTAATAACAAACCACTGTGCTACAAATAGCAGCTTATGTACGAAGAAAATGGAGAAAGAGGTTACGTTGATGAGGAAAGAGGAGATATTGTCATACCACGTGAAAAGGTTTTAAAAACAAAAAAACCCTTTCTTACTAATGGTGATTTGAGCTTTTGTGGTAAAATTATGTTTGGAGGTTTTAATTAATTTTGAAGGGGGCATTTTGCATGCAGGAGGGGGAAGAGAGTGAGAGGGTAGATGGAGAAGGGACAATTTGCACAAGATGTGATGATGGTGGGGGAGGATTGGAATCTTGTGAATCAAGAAGTGGGCAATATGATCATTCAAGTGCCAGCAGGAGCTCATTTGCCTTCCCTGTGTAAGTACTATACACCTTCCTTGTCAACAATTTTTCCTATTTTGACTTTTTTTATTAGACACTAACAATCTTTGACCATAAATCGTAAAAAAATTATATTCAATTATGATATAAAGTTAATATATAATTTGGTTAATGTTAATATATAGCTTTGATAAATCAAATTTATTTAACATTTATTAATTTAAATTATATTTAATTTGTAATCAAAAGATGTTATTATTCGACTAAAAAAGTTAAAATAAAGAATTTATGAGACGGAGTAAGTAATTTGTAGTACCCGGGGCAGTATTGAATTTACAAGGTTGCCCCTAGGTAGTAGCCCACTAGTGAGAGAAGTAAAGAGGTCCTAGTGAGGAGGAGGTGGGAGGGAGAGGCTTTAATGAATGAATGAATTGATTCATTATTTGAGTACCCACCCACCCGTCTCTGTCTTGTCTCGGTGCAATTTAATTGATGACCAATCTAAGTTGAATGAATTGGTTTGATTCTCTGTGTTTGCAGATTAGGGTGGGAGTGGGTGGGGAGTCCAGTTCACATGCCCAAACCCGACGACGGCCCATACTCGAAGAAGCATAGAGCTCGACGCCTTTTCATACACTGTTGCGGATTTTGATTCATGCAAACCAATCCGCCCGGCCTCTTATTTAATTCCGTCTACTCTCTCATTCTCAATTTGTCATGTACAATTGCATTTACTCTTTCTTTATTACATTTAAATACATATATTGAATATACACACACACATATATATAATACTAGTATACTACACGTCCTCATATTTTTATTTACATTATCTTTGTTTCAAAAAATTTGAGAGAAAAAAGAATTAAAATGAAAAAGAAAACATTTTTCTTGTTTAGTTGGAGAAGAAAAGAAAATAAAAGCGGAAGGAAACGAAGATGAGAAACATGAGAAAAAAACTATTTTGTTTTCTATTAAGAGAAGCGGAAATTAAATTTCTTTCATTTTTAATGAGCAAAATCAGCAAACTGGGAAAAGACTAATTTATTCTCTTTTTATTTCAAATTCCTTGAATCAAACATAATGATAATGTTTGGTTTCGCTCTCGTATAAAAAAGGTTATTAACGTTAGATTCGTGTGCTTCGTAATGTTGTACTCCCCCTGTCCCAAATTCATTTGCACTGTTCGAACAACATGAAAAAAATATTACAAAACAAGACGCGATAAAAATATTTCTTTAAATTCAGGTATATGTAATTTTTTTGGGATGGTATATCTATTTTAAAAAAAAGATAAAACCGACGGGTCCCACATGATACAATTGCAAAGTGACTTCCAAGTATGTCCAAAAGAAAGACATTAATTTCAGGATTGGGCAATGGGTATTATGGTATGTATGTTTGTTTGTACTTTGGACTGAGTATAATAAAAGCACCTTAAGAGAGGGACCCACTTTTTTGCTTGTGTATTGAGCCTTCATATCAACCTGGCCCCATAACTCCAATACTCCAAAGTGTACTACCTCCCTCACCCACTTTTTTTTACAATTAAATTTTCTGGTTTACAATTTAAAAATCAAAGTTTGTGATTTAAAATTTGTCTAGAATATTTTTTTTATCAAAAAATTGACATATTTATTCATTGTTAGCACATCAAGACATATAATTAAACTAAGCCTTCCAAACTTCAAAGATTATCCTCCAAAACCATAAATCAAAACTACCCCTTTAGGACATGAATTAACAGGGGAAAAAAAGAGTGTTAATAACTCTTAATATACAAAGTTACAAACAGAGATCATCCATTGCTATTATCATCCAGTGATGAGTACATTTTCGCCGTCCCAAATGAAGCATAACGTTTGCAGAAAGACTGCACAGAATATAAGCAGCTAAAATATCAGTAGTCCTTAGCTTTCTAACAACTGGTTTAACACACACTTACATATGTGGAATTAGAGTGAACTGTTTCCTCCTCTGGTAGAAATGCATCACAACAAAAGCAGTAGCGATTGCATCGGTTTTCTTGCAGCCAATGCTTCTGCAATTGATAAATCGTCTGCCCTTTCTCTATTCGCAGCCAATGCAGCAACATAAGCTTCCTGCGCTGCCTCCAATTTTCGCATCTCCATCTCTTTCAAATCTTCCTGTTCAGGTTATATGTAATTAGCCAAAGATATATTTTATATATGTGGAGTAATGGTCAACGGTTGCTAGCATATATACCATTTGTTTCGGCTGGTCACACCAAAGATAGCCAACATCATAATCATCTTCGGCATATGTTGTGTTGCTCTTTGTCAACTCTCCTACACACTTCATTACTTCTTCTAGATCTTTCTCAAGCTTTTCCGCCTTCTTGATTGAGGTTGTTGCTTCCCATTCTAATTTCTCCACGGCAGCTTGCTTGTCAGCTAGCTTTACCTAATTCAAAGTAGTCACTTTGATACATGAAAGCATATTCTTTTTGTTTTCTTTTGCAGAATGTTGTGTATCTTGGTTTCATGTTCAAATTGTAGTCAAATAGTTATGTATTAAGTTTTTAATTTCAGCACTAATCGAGCATTGTAGTCAAGACAAGTGGATTACACATGGTTTCCATTAAATAAGGTTAATTGACTTGTTATTTCTATTTATATGGGGGGATAAATTGGATCTGACCAAATAGATGCATCGTACACACCTTCACATCGGATAGCTGGATTTGAGTGGATTCAAGTAAGGAGTCTTTTTTGGCAAGTTCCTTTTGAATCTCATCTAGTTTGGAGTGGAGGGAAGCCATCTCAATCTTTGAATCCTCAAATTCTTTCAGAAGTTCATCTTTCTCCAACACTTGTCTCTGTAAGTCCTCTACCTGCTTCCTTAATGCAAGGAGTTCCTCTCTTTCGTTCTCAGATAGGGAAGACCTCGAAGACAAGTCCCCGCATCCATCAAGATTAGACCCAACACTTCGGTTTTCCTTTCTTCTGGAAATTTGTTGAGCTGTATTTCTTCCTTTTGGTTCAGATGCCTATCACATTGATTGTTTTAAATCATAAAGGTGAAACAACATAAAATAAGACACCAAATCAAGGAAAGAAAGAAGAAGCAAACTATTTGAATTCAAAGTATGTAAAGAGTTCAACGAACATTGGGATTTTCAAACTGCATGCTTTTATCAACAGATTTAGTGCCCATTTAGTAAGGGCTATTTGGGTGAAATAAAAACATGAACTGAACTTTATAAAAAGAATAATGTTTGGTAACATCCATGAGAGCCAAATAAGTAAAGTAACACTACGTGCTAGTTATTCTGCTTATTATATCAGCAAAATACACAATATAAGCAAGAAATGGCCATCAAACGTCCTCTTACGGCTTGTTTGGTAAATGGTTTTGACTTATTCTAATTATTCGGTGGTACAAGTAAAATAAGTTACGTTTTGACTTGTGTATTAATTAGTGGGCTGAAAATAGTCATGAAGGGATGTAACCAAATGTTTTTCTTTTTAGAAGATTCAGCCATTTTGGCCAAGCAATTTACCAAACAGGCACACCTAAATGTGTAAGTTCACTCATCAAATTAGGTCCAAAACAAGTGCGGAGTATTTGGGTATCGAGACGAGTCAGGTGACAATTAATGCTACGAAATACTGAAGAGGAATTCAGCACAAGAAAACTCTGAAACACTGCTTTGGGTATCAAACACCCTAGTCTAGTCTCTGAAGTCCATTTGGTCACACATTTTTCAAAAGGGAACACTTGAGTTACAAAATTAAACATAACTTCCAGTAAGATTGTGAACAAAATTAAACAAAAGTTTAAGTATTAGAATGAGATTAACGGAAAAAATTGTACCTTTTTATACAAAGAATCCCTAGAAGGTGTCTTGGTGTAGATCACTGATCCCTTGCGTGTAAACGAAGTGTTAGGTTTCTGATCCTGCAAGATTCACAAGCCAAGCAAGCATTAGAAGGACCCAAAATCCCCAAATCCGACTAATCTGCAAGAAAAAAATGTTAGGGAATAGAAAACCCAAACCGGACCTGACTTGATTTCAATAGCTCTTCCGAAGAAAATTAGGGAATGTAATTATCACAAAATAAAGTGCTGAAAATGGAAATAAGTAGGAATACTGACGATGAGTGACATGACGAGAGGCACCATCTCAACAAGTTCGTTGAAGATGCTCGGGTCAACATTGGCAGCGGCTGCAACGGAAGCAGCGGAGAAGGAGGAGTCGGCACGGCGGGGAGGTGACGTCGGCGGCGGGGAGGGGACGCCGCCGGAAAGCCACGACTGGGGATCCGTTCCGTCTCCACCGAATCTGCCGCTCCCAGCGTCGTGCGGATCCAACAAGTGCTGAGGATCGTACATGGCGGTGACCGGCGGACGGAGATCGGATTTGATTCTTCTGGTGAGAGTGCCCCGACCGTATAGTCAGTCCAGTCTTCGAGAATTTTAAATTGGGAAAGAAAAATTGAAACTTTGAAGTTTACGTTATTGCAAAAAAGGAAGGAGACATTTTATGCTTTTACCAAACTACCCCTTGCATTTGGTACCCCTCGGCCCTCGCAAGTCAACTGGTCTCAGTTAAAATTTCGAACAAGAAACCCATGTTTTCACTAGCAAGAATGCGGGAGTAACCTTTCAAAAATTGTAGGAAGCTCTTTGTATGCAGGGAGCCCCGGTCTTACTATCTATTGTCGATTGTGTCACCATGATTTATCCCCTCATATAATTACATGATGCACGGGGTGAGAGACGTCTAAGGTAGCAATTTTACCTTTTGGAATATATGGAAGATGAATATTAATGGGGTCCGAATTGAGTGAAAAGATTAAAACTTATGATAATAATTCTTAAAATTAAGATTAAAAATGATTTCAAATTTTAATACAGAATAATTTTACTTTATCCATCTTATAAAAATTTACTTATTTTGTTTTCACTATAACTTAAAAAGTATGAAAATGATAAGAATGTTAAAATGTAAGTGCATATATATTTTTAAAATATTTTTTATTATACTAATATACATTATAATTTTTGATTAAATGAGTCAAACAGAACAAACTTCGAGTTATAATAGGAAGTTTGTGTCCAAGTTGTTTGTGAATCTAACATTTTTTTTTGGAAATATTTTGGGTAGTTCAGGAATTTTTATAGAAAATGAAGTTTAAGTATTTAATTGAAAAAACATTTAAAAGCCATGTAAAAACATAGAGCGTTTGATGTGTAATACAAGTAAACGATTTTACTTTTTATAGTTGATGTGTAATTATCCCATGTCACACAAATAAAGAGACGTGGTGAGTAATAATCAGACAACAAAGATAAAGAGACGTGGTGAGTAATAATCAAACAACAAAAATAATTGTATCTTATAAAAAAGGAGTTAAAAAAACTTGAAACCTATATGCTGCTAAATATAATTGCACCTACCTGAACTAGAGAGGGATTAAATAAGATGTCAGAAATCTTAAATCTATGTGCTCCAATTCTACAGTCATAAGAAAAAACAAAGAGCTTAGTCAAATGACAATTGAAAAATCAAGCGGGTAAATGCTTTCAATTCACATCTACCAATTTTATCATAAACTCATCTTTATCTATATTATACCATTTTCAAGTTTAAATCTAGGTCTTTTTAAGTATAAAAATATTTATAGTTTTTAAAATCTAAGTTTTGTATAATTCTCTTATAAACAAGTATTTTAAAACATTTCTTTTAAAGTATAAAAAAACATATTTTTAAGTCTTAAAATTGTTTTCATGCATCATTCATATAAGCTAAACAATTACTAGTAATAATGATTTATAATTAAAATAATATTAATAATAACAATAACAACAATAATTAAAATTATAATATTAAATAAGGTTTATGTGTTGGAAACTTTATATTTTTTGTCATGATTTAATATTATTGGATAAATTTCATTTGATTAGATCTGATTGGGGCTAGTCCGAACAGTTTTGCTTTGACTGGATCTAATTTTGATTAGATCTAATCTGGTCTGATTTAATTTTAATAAGAATATGCAATAAAAAGAAAAAATTGTTGCTTGTGTCACCACTTATCCTCTAGCGCGATTGGAATCCCTAAAACGATTAAGAGCCTGTTTCGGAATAGCGTTAAAGATTAACATTAGTATTTTAGATAAAATTTTAATTGTGCAGATTACTTTAAAACACCAATGTCAAAAGCTGACCGTAGATAAACTTTTCAAAACGCTAAGTGTAAACTCCCATACCTCTAAACTTATTCCCAAACATATTCCTAAACAGGCCCTAGCACTGCCGCTGCCGCCGCCGCGTGAAAACGGCGCCGTAAACTACCGATTAACATAGCAAGCGTTTTGAAGGTGTGGATTAATATTCGCAGTTCCGATTCCTTTTCACGCCTTCTTCTTTTCAATATTATTACACCTACATTTTTTTACTTTCGGTGATGCAGGGTAACCTTGTAACTTTCTTTTTTGTACTCCCTCCGTCCCAAAATATTTACAACATTTGCTTTTTCAGCAGTCGCGAGAACTTGTGTTTATTTCTACATTTTCATTGGTTATTTGATAAAATAAAATATCTTTGACACCTCTTATTTCGAAGAACTTTTCATGTAGTTTTTTGATATATAAATTTTATTTTTAACTTCTATACTAATATGTAAATAAAATAAATTAAAAAAACTCGATATTTTACCTCGGGAATACAAGTGTGGCAAATATTTAGAGACGGAGGGAGTATTTAAAAATCTGCAATTTCTTGGAATCCGTTGAAAATTTAGGAAAGCTACGGAGCATTATGGAAGGGACATGTGAGTGTGACCCCATGGACCAAATGTTACTACAAATATAGAGGGAGCACTTTTTCTTCTTCAAAAAAAAAAAAAAGGTGGAACGCTCACCCCGAGCGCCCCACACCCTGGCCGGATAGAATTTTGAAGGACATAAATCATGATATAATCTCAATCTGGCCCTAAAGAGTCCGCCCCGTACCCAGTGCGCACAAGGAGCTACTACAAAGAATAAAACTCCGACACTGTCGTTGTCGGGATTCGACCATAGGACCAATGGGCTTGACATCTTCTCCTTGGACCAGTTCAACTCCCACACTGCCGCACTTTTTTCTTCAAAATGTTAAACACTAATGAAAGCATTCGTTCGCAATCAAGTAGTAGCTAGAGATGAATTCCTAAGATCATACCATGTTAGTATGGCATTCATTGCCAATGAATGTTAAAAAGGTCATTCTATTTATAATATTCCACCTCTAAATAATTAAGATTGAATTAAAAAAGACATTAAACTTCTTACTCTTGAAAAATAGTACAAGGAGTTTACTCATCACACAAACAAAAGATCTCATGCGGAATAGCATTCACGGGGGGGCGAATTAGGGGCATTTCCTTTGAACATATGAAGCTCCGTGCTCTTCGTACCTGGTTGTCAAAATATGTGTTGTGAGTTTACCCGATGTCAATTGGTTCTGGACTCTTTTATTTGGGGTCCACATAACACAAAATTGAGCCGTGGGTCCGTGGTTATACCATTATTATTTTTTTCAAGTCCACTGATGGATATGATATCACAAAGGAGAAAGAGAGGGGAAAAGAAACTACGTACTCGGACTTCGAAAACCACATCTGCTGAAAAGAACCAAGTGATGCCAGTATGCTGCCCCCTATCCAGACACTGCATAAACAGACATGTTGAGAGCTGAGAAGATACATTTTCAACTACATTCTGGATATATCATTGCTAGCTGGTTGGGAATGTTTGGTTCTAACCCTATTCTGAAATTGAAAATAATAACCGAAACATGATGTTCAAGAAGTTCTTTTTACATGCAACAGAGGGGCCAGAAAATGACTGCTTTTTGGAAATGTCAGTTGATGGAAGAGCTTGGATGAAAAGAAAAAAACAAGGTTGAAGAAAAGGGCAATGCTGGAGAGAGGTAAGTAAATCCCAACCTGAACCTCCTTTCTGTTGCATTTCCACTTGCAAGTACTTTGACTCTTGCAGCTTGTGGGGAATCCTGTGGATGAAAGAAACAAGAAAAAAACATGATCCATTCAGTCAAATAATTAAAATACTCCCTCTCTCTTGATTAAGTTGCAAAAAAAAGAAAGATTAAGCAGTCTGCCCTCCAAAATGCCCTCAAGTTTTATCTTTAAAAGGCAAATCTAAGCGTATGATGGGCTGGGGATGCGTTGAAATGGGGATGCGTTGAAATAACAGAGAAGATATTTTTCTTCTCATGGGTATGTTGGGCAGTATATGCAATTTTATTCTTCAAACATAGTACATGTACAACTAATCCCATACATAGTAGATGGACAACTAAATCCCAACAGAATGTGGTGAGGTGAGTCTCAATGGAAAACAATACCTCAAGTAAGTCTTTCTCCAGGCGTTCTTTCAGTTGTTGCATCGATGCTGTTCCCCCAGCAAGCTGTATAATTATAGACAGCATATCAATGAATTCTTCATAAAATATCTCAGAAGAGAGCAATAAGTAGCATCCAAAGAAATCGCAGTCATCTTACAATCTTACATTAGTTATGATTCATAAAGTGTGAGCATTGTAACAATAATACTGAAAGGCTTACCAATATACTGCTATAGAGTTCTCTTCTAATGTCCACGTCGCACTTGTTTATACTCTCAATGACCTGAAAAGTTTTGATCATCAACGATTTATCAAAAGGGAAGAAGAGTTTCTCTGGTGTGCTTATCAAAGATCGCGTTGCTAGGTATATAGACTTGCCATTTGTGGCAGCCCACGGAGGGAACCTGCAGTCTCTGAAAAACTTTCCATACCGGGGATGGTCTGAGATCACATGCATTAGAAATAAATGAATAATATCCAAAGATCATTGGCTGATCATATTGACAGTACAGACTGAAAATAAACCAACATAAAAAGGTCTAAAGACGTGGTGAAGTGAAAACTGCATTAACAAGTTAAAAGCAAAATTGTGAGTGCATTAATATGGAACTCTGGAAGCAGCATATACAACTGAAATGAACAAAATATATTTCTAATAGTTCCCAGCGGCACTTGGGAGAAAAGTGGAAAACAAAATTGTGAAGACAATGGTTGACATCATTCAAGATACAGAGGCAATAAAGATTGATACTTCATCCACCCTACTATTTTTTTTCTTTTACCTTTCTTGTCAGTCCCACTATTTTCGTCACAGATGAAATACCATATTTAATAGTATTTCTGTTGCTCGCATTCATTCATACTTTTTAGCATCAATACCAAGTAGACAATTCCCATATCACCCCTTACATTTGTGTTGATCATGGAGTATCTCACCAGACTATTCCAGATTGTGGCTGATAATGAGGGATTTAGATATCATCCAATGTGTGCAAATCTGAGTCATTAATTTAGCCTTTGCGGATGATCTTATTGCAGTAAGGCAGATTGCAAATCTCTGGAGATTATTATGAAGGTGTTGGATATATTTAAAGACACTACTGGTCTGCAAAATTAATAAGACCAAATCACAAATTGTGTTTGGAGGGGTGAGCCAACAGAAACAAGAGGAATTGTTGGAGATTACTACGATGAGTAAAGGCAGTCTCCCTTTTACATATCTTGGTATTCCTATAACTGCATCTAGACTCAAAACTGCTGATTGTGAAAAGTTGATCAATAAGATTACTTGTAAGATTACTTCGTGGAGTTCTAGACACTTTTCTAACAGTGCAGGGGTTAGGTTGATTAATGCTGTTCTTATGGGAGTTATAACTTACTGGTCCAGAATCTTCATTCTCCCCAAAGCTGTGAAGAATAGAATACAAAGCATATGCGGGAACTTCCTTTGTTATAATGCACATGAGCATAAGAAAGCACCTTTAGTGCAACGGAACTATGTGTGCACTCCTAAGACTTTTGGGGAGATAGGGATTCAAAATTTGAGTTTTTGGAATAAAGCAGCAGTTATGAAACTCAACTGGGATGTGGCTGCTAAGAAGGACATCCTATGGGTCAGGTGGATTCACAGCAGATACATCAAAACTGCCTCTTTTTGGAATTATATCCCCAAACCAGATTCATGTCATTACTGGAACAGATGTTCAGGGTCAGACAAGACTTCAGGAATATGCCTAGAGTTGGCAACTACCAGATTAAGCAAGGATATCTCTGGCTTCATGGAGAAAAAGAAAAACATATGCGGAGGGACTGGGTTTGGAATAAACTAACCCCCCCCCCCCTAAAGTTCAATTTATATTTTGGTTAATCATGCAGGGAAGAGTACTAACTAAAGATAGATTTGTCAAGTATATGAATATCGATACCCAATGTGTGCTGTGTGGGGAGAAACTGAAACTGCTGCCCATATTTTTTGGAAGTGATCAAATGCTACAGCTGTGTGTAAGGAGGTAATGAAGAAATATTACATTCAGTTGCAGGCTGTGGAGTTCAGTGAGACTGGGGATTATATCACGAAGATTAAAGAAATATTAGAAGTATTACCATTTCTGTTTGGGCAAGTTGCTGCTATGGAATTCGGAGAGCCCGAAATAACAAAATCTATGTGAAAGATGTTAGTATTGAAGAAAGCAATAGCCATATCATTTTTTTGCTTAATACTCCGTAGCTATTTTAGATACAGGAAAGTCAGTTGATAAATAATAGTAATTATAATGGGTATGGGTTAGCTATTGTAATCTCTAATCAGTTGGCTTGGAGGTGATGAAATATATTGTGCATTTGGTTCATAAAAAACAAGTAGACAATTTTACTTTTCAAAGTTTGTGTGTAATTACCACATGTCACAAAAATAAAGGGACAGAGGGAGTAATAATCAGGCAACAAAGATAATTGTATCTTATATAAGAGGCAAAAAAACTTGAAACCAATATACTGCAAAATATAATTGAACAAACCTGAACCAGAGAGGGATTAAATAAGATGTCAGGAATCTTAAATCTGTCTGCTCCAATTTCTATAGTCCTGGGTCATAAGAAAAAACAAAGAGCTTAGTCAAATGACAAATTAAAAATCAGCAGGGGTAAATGCATGTCTTGCACGGGACCAAGGTGCATCCAGATGAAACTAACAAGTGGTTATCCAAGACTCCATAAAAAGGGACAAATATAATTTCAGTGTTGAAAGGGATATAAGTTGCCCTCAGAGGTCATGAACTTACTGTCCATCAGGGAGCTCGTAAGACGTCATCGGAATATTTGAGTAAGAACTATCTGCATAATTTAAAAGTACCAATTAGTTTCAGTTGAAAGAAGAAACTTGCTATAATAAATATAGATGCAAAAATAAATGTACCCCACCAAGAAAGCACCAACTCCCCAAAAACTATTCACCTTTTTAGTATGTTTTAAATATACCATATCATGAGGAACCGTAATCCGCAATTTTCAACTTCAGTAGGAAAAAACAATTGCAATTGATTTTCTCATCTACTTATAAGGTATAATTGGCAGGGCCATGAGTTGGATGAGAACTAGTTTAAATTTACACATGATTGATAGGGAACATGATATTTCCACTAGGGAAATGCCAGATGTGGTTTGATTCTATCTTATCATCAGAATGTGTATGCCACTATGTCATTGTTAATAGAACCCCTTCCTCGTGGAAACTTTCAGAAAAATGATTTACTCTGGGTATTAGATTAAAATTAAAATAGGATATTGGGAAGCATCCAACAGAAGTTAGCACAGACCATCATATGGAGTATCTGGGGCCCGGCACACGCATTCTTTGATGTCACTGGCAATAACTTTCTGTGCTAAGAAAATAATATCTGAGTACAATTAAAATAAAGGAGTGCAGTAATTGAACAGAAAGAATTCTAACAAGTAAATTACCTGGCAAAATAATTTGTAACTTTCTGTTGTATTGGGAAAATCAAGATCCACTATCTGAAAAAATATGAATGCCAGACATCATTTATGTTATTATGTTAAAATTAAAAAGGAAGAAAAAGAAAATGTGATCCCATCACTAAGCACAAATGTTGGATAATTATCAATTAAATGAGAAGACATGAAGTACATTTATCTCATGCATGAATTAAAAGAAACCAGCTTAAATGTCAATGAGTTGGAGGAACATCGAGCAAATGCTTAGTAAAACATGGGTCAAGTACAGAATTGAACCTGAAATTCTCCCGGTCTGATTTCTTTTCTTTTGAAAGAATATCGAGGTTTTATCTGCAGTGATCGAAACACAGAGGAAGTAAATGAGTGATCATAGTAAATTATGAGTACATCCGGAAGACCTAAATTAATCATTTCCTCCATTCCATAACGCAAGGTACATTTGGATTTGGCACAAATTAAAAAAAACAAGATGTTATTTTACAATTGTAACCTTTGGAAGAGATTAATAGATAATGGATTTCAGAAAGAAGTAAAAAAATGATATGATAAAAAAACAAGGGAATGAGGTGTAAATGACAAGCTAGTGGAATTCTAACAAGGATATTGGGACAGATCAAAATGAAATATGCATCTAACAAAATGGGAGAGAGAGAATAATAAGTAGCGGCTTAGAATGGAATTAGAGGGGAAAAGTAACTCACAAAGACACCCTTTTGCTCCAAACTTTTCATCAAGCTTTCAGTAAGCATGTCTCCTCCTATAGGAGAAGTGCAGACAGCCTATTGTCAAATTGTGAAGAAGTAGCACAGTGAGTGAAGGGTAACTCTGAAAGTGTACAAATTACAAGCTAAGAAAAGAGAGTACGAGAATTACTATAATAATATATTTTATGTAGTAGCTTGTATGAATGATTGCACTTTGGAGCACATTAAGATGTGCAAGACAATAGACTAGCATTTGTACACACGATCACCTAGTTAATTTGTTTTCTTTTAGTCTAAATTCTACTAATAAAATTGGAAAAGTATACAGACTCATCAAAAGAAGTTATATGTGTGATGCCATGAAGCAGTTTCCTGAATTCCAACACAATCCTTTAATGCATGTTTTTGTTCACACAACTGACAAGGAATGGAATGGATATTATTCATTTGGTCCTCGGAATTGACAATTGACAAATGTTATATGTGGATTTTGATTCTGGACACCATCCCACAATTCTTTTGGTTGTTTTAACTTTTTTTATTTAAATTTGTGTGCTTTGCAGTCTTGCATTTTTTTAAATCTTAGCTTGCTCTATGTTCCTTGTTAGCTATATGCTTTTTGGAGGGTATCTAAAAAATGCTACACGAAAAGAAAAGTATCAGGTTGAAAAAAACTCGGCATATCAATTACAACTTCCTTGTGCTTTCCACTTTCAGCGGCATATCAAACCCGATCGACTCGCTCAAACATTGGGGAAACTTTTTCCTTCAACGAGCAATTCCAATTACAACTTACAAATCACTATCAGGTTGAAAAAAACTCGTTCCACCCATGATTTGATCAGATGTTTGAGGAAGAAAGAAGAGAAGGGTGGTAACGTTTCAAGAATTTATGCATGGAACACTTTGGACAGCCCTTGAATGTGGATCCCGTCAGGAACTAAAACTCATGCAGTTGGAAGCAATGGAGGATTATTGTGCTCAATACCAGAAAGCATTAGTTCGCAGAACCGGGGTTCATATTCCAGCATCAACAGGCCCTATTCATATCTAGGCTACAGACGGACTTACATTATGAATCTGGTCCGTGCGCTAGCCAACAAACACTCTCTAACTAGGGCAGGAGGACCATTAAACCTCGGCCTAGAACAATCAACCTCACTACCTCAGACGCAAAGGAAAAGCCAAGGGTCCGAGTTTGAGGAAGGAGTGATGTTACGGATTTGGTGTTGTTGTTATCACTACTATTAGTTTCCTATTCGGAGTCTTATTCTTAGTTTCCGGTTAGTAGTCTTATTCTATTTAGTTAATATTCCAAATAAGAAACTAGGTTTCCTAGTATGATTATGGTAGATCTCTTGTAAGGCTTTGCCTATTTATATTTGACCAATTCATTAATAAAATCATCATTGAAGCAATTAAACAATTTATCCTAATTAGTCACGGACTATAGGACCTGAAGTTCTTCCTCGTCTCGCACAAGAGCAAGAGAGGGTTTTTCATATATCTCAAGGATCTCTTCAGATCCCTAACACTAACTTTGTAAGAAATCCTGTCACAAATTGTTTGTACAGTTTCAACCTCATGGCCTCATGGGTAGGATCTAGGACCTTAACACTCATTACACATTCCATGTTTTCAGCCAGTCGCCAGCCTCTGAAAAATTTATTTACAACTGTAAAAAGAGAAATACCTTCTGAAGAACATATCCATCATGTACAGGAGCAATAGTAGTTGATCCTCCACCGCTGAATGAATAGAAATAGAATATGGTTAAACAAATATATATCATACACTATTTGCACAATGCTTATAGCAGGAAACTACATGTAAACATTACTAGATATAACTGCACGCTTTTATTGTAGAAGCATTAACAGACAATTAATTGCTCAGTAATAGGATTTGTCTTAATATTTTCAAGCAAGTCCATTACTGCTGTATCAAAAGAGTGCATAATCTCCTACCTATCTACGACCAAGGAAGTGGCACGTCCTGATGCAAAGGATGTCAAAACCTGGCATTATGAAAATACAACCACCCAAGCTCGATCACAATCTCGTACACTCTTAAGTTACAATATTAAAATATGCAGTCTAGCTTTAATATCTTTGAAGGAATATGTGTCATTGCAAAATAGAAGGTTAGAAGTGGAAACACACCGCATTTTTGGCCAGAAACAAGGCAGGTACTTGGTATTTTTCAAACATAAGCTCAGCTGCCCTGTTAAACACATACTATATAACTTACAAGAACAATATATAAATGAGAAAGTGGACAGAAACATGGCATTGTGGTGTAGTATATATATTATACAAAGTATAGTCATTATCTTTATGAATACAAAAAAAAACCATGGGCGAATGCATCTGAGGTAGACAGTGCTATGCTGCTATCCTTTAAGGTAAAGTGCTTCACTTAATAAGTTAACTAATGAAATTATTATGCTCATATATGACATAATGAATGAACTAGTTTTGACAGAAAACTCACTTTTCTCTCTGTTGTTGAGTATTGGAACATGGCTCCGCTAGCAGCATGGGATGCTCTTTCGGATCAATGAGTAAGCACTCCCTACAGATTAGAAAAGTCGGGAAGCTTGTGGTTTAGGAAAGAACAGATCAGGTTGCATATGTCCCAATGCAACTAATCAGTTAAAAGTTGAGAAACAAAATGAACTTATAAATAACATAAATGGTCTAGTACCTGAAGGCATGGTCCCATATGTTATCAACAATTTCCCAATCAGCTACTACTCCATCCTTAATAGGTGATATTGCCTGAAGAGTTACCGTTTGTGCCGCTCATGCATTAGAAGTAGTATGATTATAGTATTTTTCTAATCATTAGAATTATATAAACTGACCTCCATGTGATCCCGACGGAAACCTAAGGCTTGAGATCCTACATACAGTTTGCGCTTACCCTTGGATTTAGAGTCCGGGAGTGGGCCAGAATTATTATCTGGATTGTCAGGATTATCAACTTCCATTTGATCAATTGATCCGACAATCTTTACATAAGACGAAAAGTAACATGAGTTAAGAAAATCCTAAAACATACTTAGTTACAAGAAAGAAGCATAAGACATAGTAAATAACTGAGAACAATTGCAACAGCTCATATAATTTCCAGTTTTAACATACTCTGGGTGATCTAATCAATCACTATTTAAGTATTCAACAGAAAAGTAGTAGCTATCTGGGGGGGGCTACAATGTCCAACATCCTAGTGTAATAACTATTCCGTGGAAAGATATAATTGGTAAACAGTTGTGAAAGAATTGAAAAGAAACTTGCGTTGAGAACAGCTTCGCCTGGAGCTCGCCACGCTCCAACAATATGCAGTATAGGCCTTGAAGTGTGCCCATTTGCATACTTCAGCTGTATCCCTCAATCCTTTTTACCTCACTGATATTAAACCCTAGTAAAACGTTCAACCCAACCTCCAATTCCCAAATTTGTAGAACTTACAAGATCAGTCCGACTAAAACTCTAGAAGCCCTAGCTTTCACACTTGCCTTAGCATGTATACACCAAATTTTAGAACAATACTATCCAATTCATAGACCTGACTACAATTAGAAAAACAAAATGGCTGCTACACTGTATAAATTGAAGTTAAGAATTCAAATTTTTTTTAAAAAAGGTGAAAATGGGAGAGAGGGGAGTTAGCTGTAACTCACAGAAGGAAAAACGGCTTTAGGAGCATCTTCTCCGGCATAACCAGCTTTGCAAGTTATGGAACCCAGGTCTACGACAATGGCCGAAACTTCATCTGCAGAAAGTAAACAAGAAAACGCAATATGAATATAATCCCGCCCAAAGCGGACCGCCGAATTTCAAATTTATGGAGACTTTACCTCCTCCGTACATCGCCGGAGAGTTTGAGATTCGGAGATTGATAGGATTTTGCGGTGGTTTCCCCCCCTTTTCTCAGTCGCCGCCTGTCTCCCGCAACTCTCTATCTCGACTCTCACTCAGTCCCTATGTTCCGGACTAATTGAGCCGGTCCCGTCACAGTAACAGCCGGTCCGACTCTAGAATGAGTTCTTTTTTTTTCTAAACTACGGAGTAATTGTAATTCCTTCAAAAAAATGTATTTCATGCATGGAATGTTTATATACGGATTATATTTTTGTCTAATTGGAATAATTATTTGACCAAAAGTATCATAATAATCATCAAAAGAGTTTGATGGTGCGAAGTATACACTTCGTTGAATTTGTTATAATAAAAACATCGTTTTAATGAGATTCCAAAAGCAGGTTCAAGGGGCGGCAACCCATGCGGGTTTCAAGGAGTAGAGCCTCTGGTTGTGTTAAAAATCACTTGAATTTTAATTTTTGAAATTTGGGTATAAAATTCTAAAAAAATGCGTCTCCTAGTTTTTGCACGATTAGACGCGAATTTTAGAAAAGAGATGCGACTGTATCTTTTTTCTATCTGCTTCTATAAGAATCCGGTAAAATTAAAATGAATAGAAGCATCTCATATTGGAAAAAATTAAATTAAATTATTTTATTTTAAATATATATAAAAAATATGATTTGGGAGTGATGAAATCATGATAGGACAATAAAAAAGGAGAGGGAGTGAGGATTGATGTAGTGGGTATAAATTTTGTTTTAATGTATCTTATAAAAATTTGAATGAGTTTGTTTCCTAAAAAAAATTTCTACTTTTTAAAATAATTATACCCATAAATTATGATGTTTATTTTCGTGCCACTTCAAAACTGAGTGTTTTGAAACACTTAACATCTGGCTCAATGAGAAGTAGACATGTACATAAACAAAACTGACTACCCAAACTTGAAATATTAAATTTCAGAAGTTACCTACTCAAAAAATAAATTTAGAATTTTTTTTTTTTTAAAAAACTAAAACTTAAACTCATACTTGCAGAAGGAATATTAAAACATGTTATTGGAGGTTTCTCATATACTCCCTTCTTCAAAGCTTAAAGATTACAGCATTCATTGCTCCGCCTAAAAACAACAAGCCACCAACAATATAATTTGCTTTATCAGTTGAATTTATTCCTTTCCATAAATTTAAGTTTCTCATTTAAAAATACAATAAATTATTCACTAATAAACACATTTTTTGTTGCAATAATCTCTCAAACATTATTCCTTGCCAAGTAACATTATATTCTCGATCATAACATTGTTAAACATTTCACATATTGCATGATATGGAGGTGGAAAACCGAGAAGAAATTTTCCAAGAGTGCAGCTATGGTCATCGTGATGATGAGGCAAGTTCCATTGATGTTATTAATGGAGATGAAGAAGGGCATTCCCATAGAAAATGTTCTGTGGACAATTGCGAGGTAGACCATGACAGTATTCTGTGTCTCCTTAACTCTGAGATGATGGAAGATAACGAGGAAGAAAGGTCTCTCGAGTCCAATATTTCCCGTACATCAGTGTCTTCGTTGTCAAAACACAAACGCGTTCTCGATTATATCGAAATGGATTTTGATTCGAGTGAGAATATTGTTCATGTCCCGCTTTGTTCTGATGATCAGGTAGGTACGTTTTACATAGCAGATCTAAAGTTTTACTATAAAGTTTAGGCGGATCTAGTTTAATTTGATAACTACATCTAAGCAAATGTTAGGATAAGTTTTAATTTTTTTATTAATTTGTTGATCGATGCTAGAAGGTTCATACAAAGTACTACATATATATTACTCCCTCCGCTCATTAATTTTTTTCACTTTCCTTTTTGGATCATTAAAAAATTTTCTTCTCATTTCTTATTTTGGCAAAATTTTTTTTATTAATGTATTATTATGCACCCACTTTTTATCTACATTATTCACTTTATCTCGTCACATTAAAGGCAACAGGCTGAAGGTCTTTACATTTTTCAACTTTTCTTAATCACCGTGCAAAGTCAAATCGGGAAAGAAATTTTTGGATGTATTGAGTATTATTATGTACTTTTTTTGTCTGAAAATAATCATCCTACAAATCCTGGTTTTTTTATTACTTTGACCATTAGTTATGAAAATATATATTTAGTTATAGTATACGGAGTAAAATTTATATAATTGAGTTTGATATAAGATGTTGGTTTAATATATTTAATTTTTATAATAGTTATTAAAATAATATCTACTTTATAGTCAAAGAGATCAAAAAAATCAAATAGGATGAAAGTTGTGAGATTAGAACCACTCTTCCAAACCAAACTCCTTTTTTGGTACTTGAATTGGTTGTAGTGGGAAGGTTCCAACATTTACAAAATCATTCAGTGGGCTTTTAACATGTACGGAGTAGTATGAAACACATGGGCTTAGGCCCAACTCTACTTAAATATTTTCTGTTTTCTCATTCAGCTAGTATTCTACCTAAGGTACCCATTGAGAGTGTTCTAAAGTCTAAACCACTTCTAAAAGTCTATGGATCCGTTTGGTACACGGAATTTGATGGGGTAATCCACCCAGAACCGGTCAAAGGGAATGTAAAAGTATTCGACCGGTCAAGATAAAAGAAAGACCTGAGTCGTCAAAAGAAAGGGTGACTAGTTGACCAGAAAGTTGACCGGTACACTTCGGATAGTATACCGGTCAAACTACTTCATCACCTAATCCACTCCCCGAGTTTCCATAGACTCAACCCCCAGGATCTACCCGGTATATTTTTCCAGGGTTGAAGGGTGTCGACAAGAAGAATCCAAAGAAGCTTGGATTGTAGTGACTAGTATCGCTGGAAGATCAATGAAGATGTTAAATATATCAATTATTTAATATATTTAATATTATATATTATAATTATGGTTGTTACCTATTATAGTTAGAGTTATTATTATATAATATTACCTTATATAATTAGCCATTAATGTGGAGGATTCTAAAATATATTCCTTCACCTATAAATACATACTTTGTATTCCTCTTCTAGGCCTGCGGCCAAACCCCTACCCGCAACCCCAACACCCACAAGCCTATTTTTCTACCCCTCACCCNCTTACCCGACACCCCACCCTCACCCACCAGCCACCTCTCCGGTGTCCCCACCCCAACTGCCCTAGCTCATAATTTCGACACCCTCAGCCTCCGTGATCCCAATTGGTACATGGACACCGGCGCCACTCACCACATCGCTTCGGACCCAGGTACTCTTTCTCATGTTCGTACTCATTCATTAAATTCTTCATCATATATCACTGTCGGGAATGGTTCTAAAGTTCGCACTACGACTATAGGTAACTATAAATTTCCCACATCCCCTCCCCTTCACTTACAAAATATTCTTGTCTCCCCTCATATTATCCACAACCTTATTTCTTCGCAAGATGACAAGGCAGCAAGAGGACGAAGGCCATCACATCCCATCCTCCGAGAACGTGCCTCAACGTGGGTACACGTCGTTCTGTCCCCCTGCAACTCAGTATATATACCTGCTGTAACCCTCGAAGAAAGGGATCCGAACTCATTCTCTCTAAACTCTCTTGTAAAAGCACCTGTGCATTCTCTTATATTTATAATATTAATCGGGCTACAGATGTTTCCACCTAAAGTCCTACCGGTCATTTGAGTGCTATTACTTTTTTACTTTCTGAATTTAGTAAACGTTCCTAGACCCGATCTAGTATAGTTTACCCGGTTAGGTAATCTAAACCACTTCTAAAAGTCTATGGATCCGTTTGGTACACGGAATTGATGGAATTGGAATTGAATTGGAATTAAAATTCCATGGGATTCAATTCTATAGAAATTGAATTCACCAATTCCAATTCATTTTTTGCACTAACAATTCCAAATCTACATAATTTTTGTGCTACCAAACACTAGAATTGGAATTGAAGTTCTCATTTCTAATTCCATAGTTTGAATTCCGTGTACCAAACAGGGCCTATATTTATTTGTGGTTTATAGCTTTGTTAGGGTATATATTCATGGTTTAAATTAAATTCATTTTTTATGTTTAATTGTTGACAATTTATGAATGATATGTAGAGGTGTCATTCTGGAGAAGTTAAACGCACCAAGACTGCTCAACGAGAGAAAAGAGAACGTGAAGTTATGCAAAAAAGCTTGAAAGAATTGTTTGCTACACAATCAAATGAAGAAATAGAAGAAGAGGAAGAAAGATATCCACGTAGAGATAGTCCTCTACATGGCCAACTGACAATCTCATCTTCTTCCGATGACTACATTTCTCTTTGTCGTTCCAATAGCACTGCTAGTACCCAATCTTTTGTCTTCCCCATGCAAGTCTACTCTCCACATTGCTTGTTTATTAATTTTTCCTTGGGTGTTATTAATTTCACATCCAAAATAGTTATATTTATCATTAAAAAAATTAAACTAACTCTACTAAAAGTTCAAAATTATGATAGTTCTATCTATCAAAATTTATTACTCACTTATTTTAAAATTTAAAACACATGAAACATTAGTTTACTAGAATACCATCATCATCATCATCATCATCTAATTATTTTCTCATTTATTTATTGCAAGCAGATTAAATTCAAATTTGTGTGAAACTCCGATAAAGATCACGCCATGTGAGAAGAGGCTCAACAAGAAGGTATCATATTGGAGAAAGTATTGTTTTGGCTGCTGGATATTTTGAATTACTCTATCTGTATTGAAGTTATTACAATAAATTATGGATAAAATATTAATATGGATGTACAAATTAAAATTAACAACAAAGGTGACAAATTAAAACAGGCACATAAACATATTTCATGTTGTTTTTCAACAAATAAAACATATTTTTTAAATTGAAAAAAAATCACAACATTACACTCATTGTAAGAATTCAATCATGTATGAACTTTCTTTATGGCAATCTCATCGGCTACACTAGGATGAAGCTCGAGCCCAAACATGTAGTGAGTGTAAAGACCACTTCGGGCGCTCCACACCCTCCTTCTACAGAGTACTGATATATTCAGTATACTTCCTATGTTTCTTAAAATATTTCTTTTTTTATTTTTTTATTTACCTCAAAATACTTCCATTTTTTATTAAAAAATCTATGTTACTCTTACTTTTTTATCCTACGTATCATATCATGTTTTTCACTAAAAATCTATCAATTATATTTTACTTTTACTCATTACATCAAAGGCTAAATTGAAAAGTCAATAACAAATATATACTCCTTATTTTTTTCTAAAAGTTAAAACAGAGACCGTTTTATGAAACAGAAGGAGTACAATTTTAGTCTTTTTTTTTGAGAGATCAAATTTTGCTAGTGCATACTAGGAGCAATCATATACTCCATCAGTTCCTAAATTTTTGTCCTCATTACTGTTTGAGGCTTCTCATAACTTTAATTTTATTTTTGTATGTGTTTTCATTAATACATTTAATAAAATAAAATATGCAAGATAACACTTATTTAATAGACCTCTTGATACAATTTTTAGATTTAAAGTTATACTCTTTATTTCTATATTGATTAATAAATAAAATCAATTTAAAATATAAAATTTATAACATTATTCGAAAGAGACAGTAAATGAATTGAGAGACTAAAATAAAACTATCATGTTGTCGTTAATCGACCTGGAGACTTATGGGAAATGCTTGGTTTGTGAAATTCAATAAAAAAATTAAATAGTCTAAAATAATTTTAAAATGAAAATTTAAATCATAAATAATAAATTTATAAAATTTGTGAGCACCCTGTTTGTGAACCTAGCATTGCTGGAGACTTATATCCTTACTGGTCGCCAAACACAACCTTAGCATAAAGACAGAGGAAATTATTACACGTCACTGTCACAGGGATCACATCACCGACAGGGTCAGTGTGTACCTTACATAATACTGCTGACAATGTACTCTTCTTCTCCACAACACTTACCCACTCCCTGGACCCCACCACTCCCCACCCCTATCAATCATGTCAATCCACGTCATCCACTTTGTCTCCTACTGCCACGTGGATTTACGGTTTCATCCTCTCCCTCCTTTCCCTTGGCGTGGGCCCCAGCAGCCGGCCGGCCGGCCGACCACGCAAATTTGCTCGACTTCTTTTCACTTACCCAATACCCGCATGACCAAAATTGACCTTGGACATTTCGTTAATGGGGATATATGTGTTGCTTTGATTAGTTTGAAGGTTTAATTGAGTTAACTATCTTAATTAATCGATCTCATAGAGGTGAGTTTTATTTTTTCCTTTCACTACTTAATTTCGTTAATAATTTGTTTAAATAATTTTTCGATTCTATTGATTCTTCCTTTCTAAAATTATTATTTCACCTTAAACAACGTACAAAATTTATTTCTTTTAAAATTGTTTCTCTACGAATTAGTGCAAAAAATAATCCGGTGAATTCATGAGAAAATGATCCAAGTAGGGTATGTGTATGTAAATATTACACCTACTTGAAAGGAGGGGTTCAAAGAAGCCTTCCGTACAAATAATACAAGTGAAAACTCCTTAAACAAGTGTAAAACACTGTAAAAAATGTCAAAATAGAAGTTGTAAGATTTTTAAGAGCAAAAAATATAAGTTCACACTGTTATTACTACATTATTGTATTCATTACATTGTCAAATTATAACTGTCATACTATTACCGTCACACTACCATCTGCCATCGCCAGCTAATAGAGTGCCACTACGGATTACTGACGGTTGACACTAATCATAATGACATGTTACACTGTCATTAGTATTTCCATTATACTGCCAATGCGTACTCCTAGATCCCACTGTCATTATATTTTTATTTTGGTTCCAAAAATTAGGACTACTATTTTAGTATTTTTATATTTTTTACTCATATTCAGGGAGATTTCTTATTAGACAAATAGCGCTCACACAAGAAATGTTATAATTACACGAGTATCTTTAAATGACGTCTAAAATTCTAATATAAAAGATGTGAAAATAATATTTTTTTCATCAAATAATTAATAAAAATATTCAAAAAACAAAAGTTAACGAGAAGAGGAAAAACATTATGAATATCTTATTTTCTTTTTAAATACTTGTGAAAAAAGAATTTTCAAAAAAAGTTGAAAACCGAAGAAAATGTGACGCAGATGCCCAATTGGTTGTTGCAACAAGGAAGCGTGATCCATCCTACAAAAGGATAATACTCCCTCCGTCCCCAATTTGATTACAAATTGCGGGTTACGGAGTAAAATTTCTTACTTTTTGAAATCATTTTATTTACAAATTGGTATATCAATAAGCTATAAAAATTACATATTAAAAAACTACGTCAAAAGTTCTACAAAACAAGAGGTGACAAGAATATTTTATTTTATCAAATACTTGATGAAATCGCGTAAACAAACAAAAGTTATCGAGAGGAGAGAGAAAAAAAGATTGTAATCTATTTAGGGACGGAGGGAGTAGGAGTTTTGAGGATTCTGATGATGTGCGTTTTGTGATTAGCATTACTAATTATGAAACGTAATTTGCCTATAACAATATAAATTCTCCTTCCCCCGAAAAGAGGATGATCAATGTTCTCTATATTAATTTGAAGGGCAATACACAACTTCGCTTATTTCTATATTCTTATGATTTGAATTATAACGTTCTTATTTTTGATTGAGTGATAAATATCACCTAAACATTGGTGGTTTATCTACACAGCATCATTCTTGCTTCTTTCTTTTATTGGCACTATTTTTAATCAGAACTACATACTCTCCTCTTCCACTCCGCATAACATTACAACTTTAACACGAGGTTATCCACCATACAAGCCTGCAAATTTATAGTACGGATAATTGATAAAACATTTTTTGTTCTAGTTGGTAAAAAGGAACATTATAACTGAATTTACATATTGGAGCAGCAAGGTCAATTATTCATAGAGTATAAATACAACTCCATAACTAATCTCACCTCATCATTAATTAAAACAAACACGAGGATTATAAAAACTGAATTTACACGTAGGGTGGAGCATAATATTATAAATATTTCTCAACTCCTTTTAATATATGTTTTTTTATATTAATTTATTTCAGACTTTTTTTTAAATATTGTGATTTACTAATTACGTAATAAGATGATCGCGTTATAATTAAATTACCCCCAATGCGTTTGACTCCAGTATGTTTGGTCTACGGCTCCCGTGAGATCAAAGAGCTCCGGATCCCCTACCCCACCTCCGGTGTTCCAATCCAGTGTTGCAAGACCCACGTCGCTTACCCTGTTCTGCGAGCTCATGAAATCGATCTGATCCGTCCGATCTGAAATCCACGCCGGGCCCACCATCTTCCCCGGTCCAGGTATGGCCCACTTGGAGCCCGGGTTATTATCCGCTACAAGCGGGTATTGGAACGCCGCCGGTGGAATGTCGTCGTCGAACCCCATCATGTTCGTGAAGATCCCGATGTCCGGGAAGTTTTGGTCGTTGCCGGGGTTGTCCACCGGCGGAGGATCGGAAGCCGGGATTAAGAAGAAGCCAGAGTTCTGATAATTTGAAACAGTTGGCGCGGAGAGGGCGGTCGTCGCACAAGTTGACGCCACTTCGGCGGTGTTGGAGTCGGAGTTGCCGTCGGGGACCGCCGCGGCCGTGCCAGTGAGGCCGGAGCTCTCGCTGCTGGAGCGAGAACTGGGCTTTCTCGCCGGGGCAGAGGAGGGGCTCGGTTTCGGCTTGTTTGAACGCTTGCTCTTCCTGCAGCCGCCTCCGACGGGGACGTTGCGGAGGACGCCGCCTTTTGTCCAGTACCGCCGGCAGCTCTTGCAGAAGTGGCGCGGCTGAGACAGGTTGTAGTTATTGAAGTAGCAAAACTTGGTGTTGAGGGAATCGCAACGGGGGCACTTCAGCGACGGCGGCGTGTGGTGCTGGTTCGGCCGTAGCCTCCTCTCGCCGCCGCCGCCAAAGAACCGCCCGCCTCCGCCTCCGCCGCCGCCGATCGAGTGTATCTCTTGCATTTCGACAACAACGTCCAATTCAATCGCCCTCGACAATACCAAGCTCGCCTCCCAAATCCCTGCCGGCGCCGGCGATAATATTCTCCGGCAAGACTAATCGCCGTTTCTCATGGGATGTGGGAGAGAGTGACAAATATGCTCCACAACCAAACCTGCGGGAGTTACTAAATAAATTCAGCAATAGGAACAAAATAAAAGCAACGAAAGACCGGAATGACGAAACTGCCCTCGAGGTATGACTGCGAAAGCCACGTGATGGGGGGGGGGGAATGACGGGACTGACCCCACGGAAGGTCGAGTCCATTCGCGGCTGCATGTTTTATGTCCGGTAGTGGGGCGGTGGCGGGGGAAGACCGGGATCGCGGCCGTACGATCCGTGGAAGGGACGGGATGATCCGATGATCTCCAGTGGTTAAGGGCAACACGTGTACGGCGTGGAGGGACCGGAGAATGGCGTCCAATGAATCAGTGGGCTTGTCGGGTTGTCGGCCAATGAAAGATGATTATCTATCTGGTTTTTTTATTGTGGAATTGTGGTGTCAGCAACAACTGATGGAAGAGCGTCCACGTCATCCTACCTCCTCTCCCCTCCTTCAAATTTCAATTCGCATATATGCATCATGATCTCCACTTATTCTGTAGGTAGCGTAAATGAAGTGGTCAAATAATGATATAAAAAAAAGCTTGTCATTAGTTCTTTGACTATTAGTCAAAGATAGTAATCACACTATGGGATATTTTATGTTTCTCAACAGTTAAGATTACACTAAAATGGGATACTCCACTTATACAGTATATCATGTCTTATGATAGAATCTTTTTATAAAAGTAAATTAATTTCAATAGTGAAGAATATCAAAATTAGAGCATCATAAATATAAAAGGTTCGAGGGACAAAACTTACTCCACAAATTCAGACATAGAGTTATTAGTTGCTCATGGTAAATTGCATAAATTAATTTCATCACTAGCCATCACCGCCTTTACACGGTCAGATTTTTCCAAAAAATAATTACTCCCTGCGTTCTAAACTGGTCTTCTCAATCTAAAATTGATTTTAATTCAATTTATATCATTATAGGTGTAAAAATAAAAAAAAGTATATATTATTTTAAAATTATATCAAACGTTCTACAAAACAAGATGTGATAGAATATAGTATTTTATCAAAAAATTAAAGAAAATATTTAAAGAAAGTGAATAAAGTTTGACCGTAAATAGTGACTGAGAAAGATCATTTTTGGACAAAAAATAATATTCTTGGTTAAGCGTAGCAATTACGTACTTAAGGTTACAGCAGAGCTGCCAAGCATTGTGGTCGTGATGATTAACTAGTTGCATCTGCCGTACATGATAACAACATTAGACAGACAATTAGAAGCACAGAAGAATGTTAATTACTCCATGATATATCACTGATGAGGTTGTTCCATTTTGACATCCGTTAATTTGTTTCCGGTTGAGTGCAAATTAATTGCCCCCATTGAATTGGGTTGTCCTCCTCCGACTTTCCATTTTTAATTCCTCATTCCCATATTCGTAATCCATTCCGTAATTGCCTAATTAATAATCTAATTAAGGGGGGGCCGTATTGGCTTATCGCTAATTAAAACGGATTACGGATGCCTAATCTATATTTTGCCATAAATATACTCCGTAGAATGCTACCGAGCCTACTTAATACCAAGAAATGAAACCCCTCCCCTGTAACGTTATCCATATAACACACATTTTTGAAAACAATATGTACTTTCTACTTTGGTTCACCTGAATGCAAATTCAGCGTTTAACTTTAACATTTTTAAAAAATTAGCTAACAGCTCCACATATAATATAACTTTAGTATATTTGAATTTAATTTGTATCATTAATTAAAAACCATAAGAAACACGGATTGAAAAAATATATTGTTCTCGATTATATGTCTTTATTATCAAGAATCAAATGGAAGAGATATAGAGTACATTAATGAATAATGCATGCATACCATATATAGAGTATATATAATTAATAATAATAATATATGCTCCCTAGCTATATCATGATGAAGTTGATCGGTAGCATGGGGTGTGTACACTGCATCATACAGTATATATCATGCATATAGTGCCATCCATAATTGTTGAAAGTGATTGAGTGGCGTATGAAGGCGTTTGGATAGGGGTTGCGTTTAAAAACTGCAAATGAGCTTTTATTACAGTGAACTAATATTCGTCGCATTTGTTAATCTCCTTCTACTTATAAATTATGACTTTTGCAGTCTTAAATAAGCCCCAAAATTTCTTTTAAGCAAAGTTAAAAATATCTATTTTCCGCTTTGACTTAAAACTTCTGTTTTTCAACAATCTACCACACTACGTACCAAACACCTTCTATATATGACGCTAAAAGCTATCACGTACTGCCAGATACCCTTTTGAAAATGCTTACACTAATCTCTAACGTTGATGGCAAACGTGACATACATGGAGTATGTTTCTAAAATCTTCCTTTTAAGTACTTCGAAGTATTGAAAAAGCTTTGACTATTTAATTAATTTGCTTCTTTCGTTTCATAACTACAAAGTATTTACTAACTTTTTTATTTGTATTATCTAAAAAAATTGTGGGAGGCATCTACCTCATCCCGATCACAAGGATAGGATTGGTGTAAAAGTTAAAAATAAAAATTTAAAATTTAAAATTAAATCTAAAATTTCATAAAATAATGGATAACATGATTATATTATTTTGTGATATGAATAACAGAAATGATAATAAAGTGATTACTCACTAAAAGAAAACTTAAATTCAGACCAAAAAAATACAACAATTAGAAGTGACATGAATTTCTCCAATATTATTGGGTGTGGCTAGCTAGGCTGAGATTTTGTTTGAGATTAACGTTAGTATTTTGGATAAAATTTTAATAATGTAATATAAGCTGTGTAAGTTAATTCTTAAAACGCTAACGCTAAACATTATCACAATATCACTGAATAATTTTTTCAAACGCTAATCTCTAATATTGGTGTCAAACGAGACCTAATAGGAGGAGTAAGGGCACAATCACATGGAGGTTGTTCTCTTGTGGGGACTGTATGATAAGGCCGGCCTTCGGGTACTTGTCCACATCGTTTCATCTCCTACTCCACTATTATCTATGGGCCATACCCTACACTCCTTAGTTAGGGCACCTACTATCTACCATGATAAAAGTGTTTTTTATGACCATGCTACACACCCCCACCTTTGCTACCAACTTTGCTTCCACCCACTTTTCTATACATATTTATCTCTATGCATTCTCCACCCACCCTCTAATTTTAATTTTCTTGCCTCCCTACCACATGTTTATGTAGGGGCATGGTTGGTAGCAAGGATGGGGGTTTTTAGCATTTTCCTTTTTTTTATGGGTGGATAATGATAAAAATCTTTGATACCATGATTTTCTAAACTTTAATCAGAATTACGGAGTATATACTCCCTAAATCTCGATATGGATCACACTTTCTCAGTGACGTGCAAATAATCTGTGTTTTTAAAATTTATTTATTTGTATTCAACAAATTAGCAAAAAAATAAAACATAAAATACATAGTCTTTTCGTCTCTAAAAGATTATCACAATTTGACTTTTTTCATCAAACTGTAGTATCTTTTAACCGTGAATTTTGGAAGAGTATATTTTTTTATAATATAAATTAAGTAAAATTGGGTTAAATATATTTTTGAAATAGCATATTTTTATAATATTTAATTTATAGTCAAAAGATGACATAATTTGACCAAAAAGGTCAAACTGTGACATTTTTAGGGAGAGAAAGTATATTTAATACTCCCTCCGTCCCCAATTTGATTACAAATTGCGGGTTACAGAATAAAATTTCTTACCTTTTGAAATCATTTTATTTACAAATTGATATATTAATAAGATATAAAAATTACATATTAAAAAACTACGTCAAAAGTTCTACAAAACAAGAGGTGACAAGATTATTTTATTTTATCAAATACTTAATGAAGTCGCATAAATAAACAAAAGTTATCGAGAAGAGAGAGAAAAAACATTGTAATCTATTTAGGGACGGAGAGAGTATTACGTTAATAGTTTCATAAATTCCAAAAGATATTAAAAAGTAATCCCTTTGTCCATGGTTTCAAGTTAAATTTTTGTAGTTGCTTTTAAGAGTTAAATGTAGAGGTTTACTAAAATATTTTTAATGAGAGTGGATTGATTATATTAAAAAAAAATTGGTGAGATATAATATAATAAGGTAAGTACGTGTAACTGTGGTATTTTAAATACTAGTATTTTGACCCGTGCTATGCACGGGATTAAATTATTTTTTTGGAACGAATTTGTAATTTTTCTTTACAGCAACATTTTTCAAAAATCGAACAAAATAAAAGATTGAACATAAAAGTTAAAATAATGATAAAGCATATAACATTTGCTAATGATAATTTTACTACATACATTTGAAAATTAATATGTCAAACTTTTAGCTAAATTAAAATAATTTGGAAATTTTTGAGGTATACAATAATTTTGTATAATGTTATAACTTATAACACCTTGGTTNTTATTTTATGATTACTCCCTCCGTCCCTAAATGGATTACAATTTTTTTTCTCTCCTCTCGATAACTTTTGTTTGTTTACACGATTTCATTAAGTATTTGATAAAATAAAATATTCTTGTCATCTCTTGTTTCGTAGAACTTTTGACGTAGTTTTTTAATCTATAATTTTTATACCTTATTGATATACCAATTTGTAAATAAAATGATTTCAAAAAATAGGAAATTTTACTATGTAACCCGCAATTTGTAATCAAATTGGGGACGGAGGTAGTATTTTTTTGTAAAATTAGAATTATACATTAGAATAAATATTTAATTTAGATATACATTAAAAAGAAATTATATTTAGATAATCAATATATAGAAGAGATAGTATTTTTATTAAAACATATCATCCTTATAAAAGATCAAAAGTTTAGAAACTCAAATTACAAGTAGCAATAAAAATATATTTTAAAAGTAGAATAAGATTGACATTGTCAATGTATTTTAAAACTAATTTTTCCAACGTCTAATAATTAAGGATTACTTTCTCGGTTTTTTTTATTTAACCTATTTCTAAAGTTTATTCTTTTTCATTTTTAAGAACAACAACAACAACAACAACAACAACAACAACAACAACAACAACAACAACAATAATAATAATAGTAATAATAATCAAAATAATAATAATAATAATAATAATAAGTGTAATAATAATAATAATAATAATAATTCTTGATGAGATCTGATTTTAATAAGTCCTGATTGGATCTGATCTCATCTGATTGGATCTGATCTGATCTGATCTGATTGGATCTGATCTGATCTGATTGGATCTGATCTGATCTGATTCGATCTGATCTGATCTGATCTGGTCTGATCTGATCTGATCTGATTTTAATAAGAATAAGAAAAAATAAGTTGAACGGAACGGG